ATTACATATACATATATTTTTCGTTTTCAATATTTTTAATGACTTTATAAAAATTTCCTTTTTATTACATATATTTTTAGAAATTTTTGAAAAGGAAACTAAATAAAAAAATTAATAATACTATTTTAACTATTTTTAATTCATTAAGGGTATCAATGTAATCAACCATCGTGAGAACGAACGTGAGAGCGACACATAGGAAACTGACTTCTCAAATAATATTATAGAGATTCCGGTTTCACTTAACCCAAACCCTTGGTTCCGGTTTGAAATCAAAGAACTTTTCATACATCTTCAGAAGCTTCATAAAGATTCAAACTTCCATACAAAGAAAGTATAAAAAAATGGCTTTTGTGAGAAATCTATTGGGTGCAAAGAAGATTCTTGGAGCCGCAAATAGCAAAAGGGCAACCTCAGCAGCACCAAAAGGGTTTCTTGCGGTGTACGTAGGAGAGAGCCAGAAGAAGAGATATGTGGTGCCAATCTCATTCTTGAGCCAACCTTCCTTTCAAGCTATACTCAGTAAATCCGAAGAAGAGTTTGGATTCGATCATCCAATGGGCGGCTTAACAATCCCTTGTCCTGAAGATATATTCATCACTGTGACGTCTCGTTTGCAGTGATGATTATCCAACACATTGTTCTTCTGAGTTAGAGATAGACTTTGTTCCTTGTAAATATAGGAGAATATATAACAACCTCAGTTGAAGAACTATCCAAATTATACATTAGTTGATGTCAAAGTGTTTATCATCCATTGGTTTTACCCGGGCACTTATATCTCTGTTTCATAGTCCTACAACAGTTTATCCATATTATTAGTCTTTCATTGAAGTTAGTAGTCTACATTTTCAAGGGAGTGAATGGATACTCAACTTTCAATAATTAGCCTAATGGTTTACTACTGTATATATCAGTCTTACAGCTCATGTAACAGTGAGAGAAGGAAATCAATGATTTAATCCAATGTAGTATCTTCTTCACACTGTTTTGTCCTTTTATCTATCAAATCTCAAAGACTGGAGTATTTCTTGTTCTCCTGAAATGGTAAGGAGAGAGACACTTGTATTTTCGTTACTTAGAACTACCATAAATGCTCTATGATCTGTTCACAATAATAATAATACAAAAAAAATCCATATCTTCAATCATGATTGAAATAGAGAATCATGTGAAAAATTGTTTGCGTAGACAACAAGTTTTAACTCATTCCATTGATTCATCTGTATGTTCCAAAACAGAACAAACTCTTCACATCATTCTCACTCAAGATGTCATAACTTTTAAGCTGAATTTATATTTTCAGAAAGCTTTCTGCAATTACATAGACTATGCTTACACAAAAAAAAAGTGCCATTCACATTGAGCTTTGTAACCTCTTGGAACAACTCTTTTCACACGGAGGAAAAAGGTTGACCTATTTACATTGAATAATTCTATCTCTAACTCAGGACTTTCAGATCATCTTCCCTTTAGCCTAGCCGTCACAGTGATAAAAGTATCTTCATGACAAGGGATTGTTAAGCCACCCATTGGATGATCAAACCCAAACTCTTCTTCAGATTTGCTCAGAAGAGCTTGAAAAGAAGGCTGGCTCAAGTATGAAATTGGCACCACATATCTCTTCTTCTGGCTCGCTCCTACGTACACCGCAAGAAACCCTTTTGATGGGGCAGCCGAGGTTGCCCTTTTGCTTGTTGCGGCTTCAAGAATCTTCTTTGCACCCAGTAGACTTCTCATCAAAGCCATCTTCTTTTTTTTGTAAAGTTTGATATACTTTTTGAGGCTCCTGAAGATGTATGAAAAGATTCAAGTTTGGATAATATGTATTGCTTCTTGTTTGTTGATGATAGAAATTATAGGTTATGTGTATATATAGAAAGATCACTGAATCAGTCGATCCCTCTTTGAAAAGTCCTTGAAGCTTGTGGTCTAAAAGTGTGGGACAGGCTAGTACAAAGCACCACATGGCTCTGTCTATATAGATAATGGCCATAGTCAATTCACAAGGGCTTGGTTTCTAAATGTTTGTGATCTTGACTGTATATATATAATCAAACAACAACTTGAATGGTGTCACAGACTTGTTGTTCTGTTGTTGAGAAACTTCAGTTCCCCACTTTTAGTTATTCAATCCATTTAGACTAATCACCATAGAACATGAAAGGTAGAGCCTTGCTGGTCATTGGTTATTGACAATGGCATATGTACTATCTAAATTCTTTGATAAAAACAAACCCTTGTGACTCATTTAGTTATCCATCAAGACAAATTGCATTAATGCATCTTTTCCATCAGTTCTTAAGACAGAACCATGTGATCTACTCTAGTCTGTCCCATGATCCAAGACCACAAGTTTCAAAGATTATCTTGAGAGATTTCAACTCACACACTGATCTATCTATATATACACACATGAGACATTCTTTCTATCATCAACCAAAAACAAGCAATTCAATAACTTTAAACTTCTCATACATCTTCAAAAGCTTCAGAAGAGTTCAATCTTTCAGAAAAATAAAAACAAATGGCTTTGGTGAGAAGTCTATTGGGTGCAAAGAAGATTCTTGGCCGCTCTGTAACAGCAACAACAACAAGTGCCTCGGCGGCACCAAAAGGGTTTCTTGCGGTGTACGTAGGAGAGAGCCAGAAGAAGAGATATGTGGTGCCAATCTCATACTTGAGCCAGCCTTCCTTTCAAGATCTTCTCAGAAAATCTGAAGAAGAGTTTGGGTTTGATCATCCGATGGGTGGCTTAACGATTCCTTGTCCTGAAGATACTTTCATCAACGTGACGTCTCAGCTTCTATGTTGATTATCCAACATATTTTTTAGTCTAGTTAGAGATAGACTTAGTTCCTTGTAAAAACAGGAGAACTTTTACCTCATTATTGTTCAAAGAGTTATTCTATAATCTTTTGAAAGTGAATGTTATAGACACGATTTCGATTCATGTTAATACATTTTGGATCAACCATTGAAACTCTTTTTCTTCTTCTTGTGTTCGCATTTGATAATTTAAATTTGGTGTGCCTTTGCATACTATGTAATGACATGAAATTTTAGCTTTGAGAATATGAAATAAAAAAAAACTCACTAGAAAATGAAGAACATGTTGCTTATCCTACAGTCAATTCAGATTTAAAAAATCTGAATCAAACAACCAGGTGAAACTCTGTTCTCTGTACATCACAAGTTTCAGCTCTGTCTAACGTCTATCGGCTCCAAGGTGACCTCTGCAAACCAGTGATCTTTGGGGGTAATTTGATTGTGTAGTGAGGTCGCTGAGATTGTAATATTCAGATTAAATGCTAATTTGTCATAAGACAAGAATCATAATGAAGACAACACATCCTTCCCGTATAGTGGTAACAAAAACATATATGGATCTCACGACTTTCCCATGCTACTAATATGGATATATAGACAATGAATATGTTGTAAGAAAACTTGCTGCAACTTGTATAAGTGAAACCATGCACATTTGAGTTTTGTAACCTCTTGAACAACTCTCTTTGACAAAAAAAAGAGGAAAAAAAACGTATTTACATTGTTAGATTCTGTCTCTAACTAAAGTCAGTTTTTTCTTCTTTTGGAACATCATTACTGAAGCTTGGAAGTCACGTTAATGAAGGTATCTTCAGGACAAGGAATCGTTAAACCACCCATTGGATGATCATATCCAAACTCGTCCTCGGATTTACTGAGAAGATCTTGAAAAGAAGGCTGGCTTAAATACGAGACTGGCACAAGATATCTCTTCTTATGGATTTGGTCTTCACCAACGTACACCGCAAGAAACCCCTTTGGCACTGAAACTGTCCTTTTGCTTGTAGCCGCTACAGAGAGGCCAATAATCCTCTTTGCACTCAAGAGACCTCTGAACAAAGCCATTTCTTGTGTCTTGAAAATTGAATTTTGAAACAAATAGATGCTCAGATTCAAGGTTTGTATTGAAGTGTTTGGTCTGCCTTAAGATGTATTATATAGATTGATGGACTTAAAACACCACCCTAGAACCATTGATAGTATGGTGACATAAACAGACATACATTCACATGGTTCTGTTTTCTAGATATGATAGAAGACAAGAAACAAAAGCTAACAAGCATTATCTCTTTGTTATCTCTGTCATGTGCGATGCATATTTGTGGATATAATTAAAGAACAACTTAACCTGTAAATAGACTTGTTGTTCTGTTGTTGAGAAACTACAAGTCCCCACTTTAAACTCTCATTGACCAAATCCATTTAGACCACAGAGATAAGAGAATGTGATCACCACAGAACATGAAAACAGAAACTTGTTGGTCTTTATTATTGACAGTAGCATATGTCTTATCGAAAAAAACATAGAGAAAACAAGCTTTTGTGAATAGCATTTCATTTTTCATTTTCTTGTCCCACACTCAATTAATTTCCAGTTGGTGAAGACAAACCCATGTGAAACTCTGCTCTAGCTTGTCCTATACTTCAAGACCACAAGTTTCAGAGAGGTTCAAAACTCATTCATTGATCTATCTATATATACACATAACATTGCCGATTCTTTCTATCATCAACCAACAAACAAGCTATATTTCAGTAACCTGAATCTTTTCATACATTTTCAAAAGCTTTAAAAGGATTCAAACTTTCAGACAAAAGAAACAAGAAATGGCTTTCGTGAGAAATCTATTGGGTGCAAAGAAGATTCTTGGAGCCGTAACAAGCAAAAGGGCAACATCAATGGAACCACCAAAAGGGTTTCTTGCGGTGTACGTAGGAGAGAGCCAAAAGAAGAGATATGTGGTGCCAATCTCATTCTTGAGCCAGCCTTCATTTCAAGCTCTACTAAGTAAATCTGAAGAAGAGTTTGGATTCGATCATCCAATGGGTGGCTTAACCATTCCTTGTCCCGAAGATACATTCATCAATGTGACTTCTCGGTTCTAGTGATGAACTCTTCGAGTTAGAGATAGACTTCGTTCCTTGTAGATAGAGGATAGCAATTTTATGCTATGTGTACACAACATGATTCATGTTATAGAAATTTAATTTTATAATGAATTTTAGTGAAAACTTCTACATTAAAAATATAAAATATAAATTTATAATATTAATAGAAGTACAAATTTAAAAGTCATTAATCATCAAGTTAAGCACATTTCAATCAAAAACATATCAACACACAAATAATCATAGTTTCAAAAAAAAAAATACTAATAATTATATTAAACATAGAAAAAGTCATCTATTTTATGTACATTTGACATCAGTAAGGAAGTTCATTACATGTGACATCATCAATGAGGATGTACTTATTTGGCATCAATGAAGAAGATTAGTTGTACTTCAATTTCAAATACTTAGAAATTGTTTCAACTTTCAATAGTTGTATAAGAATCCATCTTTTATTTCCTTTCAAGAGACCTTACAGAAAGACATCTCATTAGAGAAATATAGGAGACAAAAAGAAAACAAGCATTGAAGAAAATCCGAAGGATGTCATACATTTCTCTCAGTAAGAAGGAAACATATGCATCGAATCTAACTTCGACTAAAATATTTTTTTTTAAAGTAATTAAACCAAACGAAACAAAAACACAACAACCATTATAAGATAAAAAAAAACTCGTTTCCTTGTTCAAATCATTGTCTCACTTTCAAAGCTTCTCTTCACTTGGCACTGGCGAGCTGGGAGCGGATGAGTTTAGCCGCATCAACCATGTTCTTCAACGCAGGCTTGACCTCTGTGTACTTACGGGTCTTGAGACCACAGTCAGGGTTAACCCAAAGGATGTTCTTCTCAAGAACAGCAAGCATCTTGTTGACTCTGTCCGCGATTTCCTCAGAAGATGGTATTCTCGGAGAGTGGATGTCGTAGACACCTGGACCAATACCAGCACCGTACTTCACACCCTCACGGAACACGGAGAGAAGCTTCTCATCAGAACGGGAGTTCTCGATGGTGATGACATCAGCGTCCATGTCGATGATGGAGTGTATGATGTCGTTGAAGTGGGAGTAGCACATGTGAGTGTGGATTTGGGTGGTGTCTTGGACGCCACAGTTGGTGATTCTGAAGGAGTGAACAGCCCAGTCCAAGTAGAAAGCGTGCTCGGATTTCCTGAGTGGTAGTCCTTCTCTGAGTGCAGCCTCATCGATCTGGATAACACCGATTCCACCTTTCTCAAGATCCTCGACTTCGTCCTTGATGGCCAAAGCAATCTGGTAACAGGTTTCGTGCCTACAGAGTTTTTAAAGATACATTGTTTTAGTGGTTTTGTTCTTTTTCTTGTGACCGGTGTTTGTTTCAGGCTAAGGTTTTTGTATGTACCTGGGCTGGTCGTTTCTGACGAAGGACCAGTTGAGAATGGTGACGGGACCGGTAAGCATACCCTTCATTGGGCGAGAGGTCATGCTCTGGGCCATTGTGGACCAGAAGACAGTCATTGCCTTGGGACGGCTCACATCACCGTAGATAACTGGTGGCTTCACACAGCGAGATCCGTAAGATTGGACCCAACCGTTTGCAGTGAAGGCAAAACCAGACAACTGCTCCCCAAAGTACTCAACCATGTCGTTTCTCTACACAATTGTTGAAAATGTCTTGTCAGAAACATAAACAAAACTACCAAAAATAACGTTGCATTATCAGCTCTCCACTTCGAGGCTCAGCCAATAACATAGAAAATTAAAAGGAAAATCACACCTCTGGCTCTCCGTGGACAAGAACATCGATGTCAAGTTCCTCTTGGAGGTCAACAACTTTCTTGATCTCTTCCTTCATGGCCTTAACGTAGTCCTCCTCAGACACCCTAATAAAAGAGAGATAAGTGAAACCATTAGTATCATACCGTTTAAGGGAATACAAGGGATTAAATTGAGGAGACTAACTTCTTGGCCTTGTACTCTCTGCGAACTCTCCTGAGCTCTACGGTCTGTGGGAAGGACCCAATGGTGGTGGTTGGAAGGATTGGAAGGTTGAGCTTCTTCTGCTGAGCATCAAGTCTAGCGCTAACATTGGTTGCACGACGGTGGTCAGAGCCCTTCAAAGCGGCAGCCTGAGATGACAAGATATCATAAACCATCTCGATCAATAAAAGATTTAAGAAAATAAATCAATGACTGTGAACATGGCTGAGCTTTGACGTAAAACTTACAGCCTTCTGTACACCCTCGTTGGTGACTCTTGGGGAAGACCTCCTCGAAGCCAAAGCAGCAGCGTTGGCAGAGAAAAGAGCCTGAAAGAGAATAAAATATTAGAGTTCAAGTGTTTACCAAATCATTTAAAGTGCAGATTAATCAAAGAAGCTAGAGGATGAAATTTCTGTAAAGAATAATACCTCATCCTTGTGACCAGCCAAAGCCTTGGCCAATGCGTTCACTTCAACGACCTTCTGGGCAGCAAAGGCCATCCATGACTTGATTTCATCATCAAGCTTGGTCTCGTTGATAAGATCGACAGCGGTGTGGAGAAGAGAGCAGGAGGTTGAGACCACAAGCTTATCTGCATCAATGCAGAAAGATAATAGATTAACATTTGAAATAATTGATTATTGTTGGGTGACTCGGATAAAGGGCGGATGATTCTGGAGGGACGCATTACCCTTTCCAACAACACCCTCAAGTGCTTCCAAGGTGCTAAGAGACGCAGCAAAGTCATTGGCCCAGATGTTCCTTCCATCAACAACACCAGCAAAAAGGTACTTTCCCTCAGGGAAACCTGCCTTGACCAAATCAAGAGTCTTGGTGCCACGAACCAAATCAAATCCATAAGCAGTCACACCCTTCAACGAAGTTAGGGTCTTGTATGCTTCAGCAGGGATATCAGCGAAGTATGTCTCCACAAGAACGTTCAAACCAGATAGAGTTGATTCAAGTTCAGCGTAAGCTCCAGTAAAGGCCTGGAGTTTGTGGCCCTCAAGATCCATGACAAGAACTGGCTCGTCAAGCTGAATCCAGGTGGCACCAGCTGCCTTAAGCTCGGTGATCACTTCCCTGTACACAAATCAAAGTCATAATATTCAGTGGCATGTTAGAGGATCATTCATAACTTGAGGAAAGATGAAAGGAAGTGATTTCTTACTTGTAGACAGGGAGGATTTTAGGGAGAAGGGAAAGAAGGTCAAATGACTTCTCTACACCCTTGGCAGCCTTAGAAAGCAACAAGTATGAGACTGGGCCAACAAGTACAGGGACGGTGTCAACACCAAGCTGCAGAAACACAAAGCTTTATAAGATCAGAACTTTAGAATAGCAGATGCAAAACTAAATCTAATTTTAAGTGTGCAAACGAAAACTAGCGGAAAAACAAGAAACTACTTTAGGTGTACAAAAGACAACCACAGTAATTTTAATTTCTACCAGCTATTCTATCAAGCAACAGTGGTTTGTGATGATGCAAGTGAGTATACTCTTAACGGATCAGTATCCTCTGTGAAAACCAATTAATGAATCTAAGCTCAACCGCTTAAACTTGGAACCAAAGCCTATTATCTCTAAAAAATTAATCCTAGAGCAGACGTAGTAATTTCCTAAGAAATGGATAATAGTGAAGAATGAAACGTACAGCCTTGGCCTCCTTGTACTCATTCACCGCCTTGTGCGATGCGTAAGAAAAGTTAACCTCAGGGCCCAACTCAGGAACAATGTAATGGCTGCATCAACAAAAACATCATTACATTAGTCCACACCTCAAAAAAAAAGACACAAGAAAGGGTTCCGAGACTCACTAGTTGGTGTCAAACCACTTGGTCATCTCCATAGCGGGAACAGAAGCATTTCCTCTAGCCATTGAGAAGTAAACATCCAACCCAATCTCACCACCAGTGAATCCGTACCTAGGTGGAACAGCACCTAACATAGCGGTAGTATCGAGAACCTGATCGTAGTGAGCAAAAGTGTTGCTTGGGATGTACTTAGTCCCAGCCTCAGACATCTGCTTCCAGATGGCAGACCTGAGATCAGCAGACACCTTCTGAAGATCCTCAGCAGTGCTCTTACCATCCCAGAATGATTCCAAGGCGAACTTGAGCTCTCTCTTGGGGCCCATACGTGGATATCCAACAATGTGTGACGCCATTTTTTATTTTTTTCTTTTTACTGCATCAAACAAACAAAAACAAGATTATTAATATCTCAGATTTTAAATAAAAAACAAGATCATTAAAAATAATAATTAAATAGATAGAATATTAACGCTAAAATTCTGACTCCAATAAAACAGCAGCAACAGTTCAAGCAAGTGTACGCAAAAAAAAAAAGATAAATAATATCTCAGATTTAAATAAAAGCAAGATCATTAAAAATAATTTAAATATATAGAATAATAACGCTAAGTTTCTGACTCCAAGAAAACAGTAGTACAGTTCACGTGGACGCAAAAAAAAAAATCGGAAAGTGTAGCAGCTTTTTTGTCTTATTATATGATTGAGATAAACGAGATGAGTCTACTTCTACTTCATAGTTCAGATCACGTGCAACATTTGATGTTCTAAAAGGCGGATCTAACACATACGATCTCTATCCTATTCATAACAACGATCATCGCAAAATCAGATCCAAAAACCAGATCTACAAATCGAATAAACACTAGAAACTCAGATCTGTGATCGATGAACTCTCTCACCGTTTAGATCTCAGCAATACGAACAAATTGATCGTGGAGAAAAACGATTATTATTATTATAATAACAGTGGAGAGAGTAGTAAATAACAACAACAATAACGTTGGAGACGAAGAAGAAGGAAATGAATAACTAAATAAGGGAGACGTAGGGAAGGTAGAGAATCACGGGGGGACGTACCTCACGGAGGAAGAAAGGGTTGGCTACGAAGAAGAGAAGGCGAGGAAGGAGAGTGGGCTTTGTTAGTTTATTTATAGCAAAAACAAAATATTGATAGATCGTTGGGGTCTGTGTATTATTGTCTAGATCTGGTGGTTGATATTTTCGGCATTTATTTTATTTTTTTATTTTCTTTTTCTTTTTACGGCTATTTATGTGTATTTATTTTCCTACGATATATTTTCTTACCAAATATATAAGTGTAAATTAATAAGTATGACTAAAGCTAGTAAATACGATTCTATCGTATACTGAAAAAAACAATATGACAATAAACCTTTTCAATTTTTACTTTTTTTCCAGGTCCAGCACATATTATTCTAACAAATAAACCATACTCCCTCCGTTTTATATTAAGTGTCATTGTAGAGAATTTTTTGTGTTACAAAATAAGTGTCGTTTTCGGTTTTCAATACAAAATTTATTAATTTTATTATGTAATTTGTTTTTCTATTGGTTAAAATATGGTTAGGTGTATGGGTAATTGTGTTTTTATATAGGAAATATGTAAAATTAATTGTTTCTTTAATCCGTGTGTATAGCTGTAGAGTGACACTTATATTAAAACAGAGGGAGTATTATTTTTTATTTACTAATATTACATATAAAAATTAAAATAATTCATTTTTACCTTTTTCCTCAGCACATATTATTCTAACAGAAATAACATATATATTGTTATATACAGTGAAACTTCTCTAAATTAATAATGTTGGGTTACACTAAAATTTTATTTTTTTATTAATTTATAGATATATTAACCGAACCAAAAACTCAATTTGGAATTATAAAATTATATTAATTTATAGAGATATTTATTCTATATTAATTTATTGAGTGTTAATTTATTGAGGTTCTATTGTATATATAGGTTTAATAAAATAATTAGTTTAAAAAAAATTACAAGAAATCTTTGATGTATATGTATTGTTTGTTTGAAATTTAAAATATGAACAGTGTAATATATGGTTAATTAAGAACGAATCTTTAGATAATATCTTACCTGATTGACAGAAATATCGTAGCTGCAAGTTTGTATTGTAGTTTTGATTGGTAAAATATCAATCAATTTATTTTTACTGTAATAAAGTCTAATCATTTAGTTAAACATAATTAAAATGTATATTAAGAGATTAGATAGAGAATTAAAACGTGAAGGGGAGTTGGTGGTGTACGTGGGAGCGATTAGTGGGTGGCATGGGACCCACGGAGGTTGGTGGGGTTTCACATTTCACAGTGAAGTTTCTGCTAAATACGACGCCGTTTAGTTCCAGCAGGAAGAGTATCGACTATTGAGCCCATATGGAAGTGGAAGCTGATTATGTGATGTCTGATGAAAAAAATAATTAATTTCCATAATTTGACCACTCAAACATACAATCTCTATTACTTTTCATTAACATTCAAAATTTTATAAATACAAATATACTTTACGTATAGATAAGATATTTGTGTTTTTATAAAAGTGGCAGATTATAGTCGAGAAAAATGTTATGTTGGGTGAAAATAGTAGGTAACGAAAGGGGTTTATGGCCCCCACACCCACAATATGTATGTTATTTGTTTAAGATTCATTAACAAATTGATGAGTGGTCTTCATCTTTGTTGTTTGCTGATGATTTGGCCACCAAACATTGATTCTTAACTTATATTATCTTCATCGCTTCCCTTGATTATATGTTACTTTTTAATATTCTTTATGTTTTACGACGTTGAATCTTGAGTATTAAAGATAACGCAAAATTTTTGACGATCACAAGAATAAACTTTGTATAAACATTTTACAAACCACACTGTTTCTCAAGGGAAGCGATGAAGATATATGCATAGTGGGATCAATGCGTTTTCCGCATACCAATCATTCTTAATTTTTTCATGTAGTTAAAGTTCATGGAAGTCTAACCATGGCACATACACTACTTTATTCATAGATGTATTATAATTCATAAGCTCTTAAAGCGGGACTCGTGAGAATATTCCAAATTCAAGGACTAACTAGTGTGGACTTTTTGCGTACCATTCTCTTGTCTTTTGAGTTTTAAAATAATAAAATGTAGAAGAATGTTGATGCTGCTCCAAACAAAGAAATCAGTCAACAAAGTGCTGCTTTTTCCTTACCAACGTCAACCAAATGCTCATTCAGTAGTATTTGACACAATATGGATAAAATTTAAAACTATAGGATAATTATACGATTTGTAGTATGCGCTAATACATTGTGAGTTAATTGTCAACAACAGTAATTAAATTGAACAACAGTAACATGAGATGAGAAGTAGCAAGGAAACTGCATATGCATCCTTAAAGTTGGCTTGTCGGTGGATTTAGATCTACCCTTTTATTAATAGCGAAAATCAAAATCCACACGAGCATTTAATGAAAAATTATTTGTTTTCATTTTATTTGTTATTATTGAAAACAAATCATTTTATTATTCTGCAACCTAAAGAATAATACTCTAAACAGCTCAAACGCAAAAGGAAAATGTGTAATGCACACAGGAAATTATTAAACTAATTCGTATGTGTATTGTAAAAAAAAAAATATACGTCCATATTATATGTTGCATATCTCACATTTTTCTTGCTATCTTGAGTTTGGTAGATCGTATTATAAAGAGATCACAAGATCCAAAAACATCCTTATTGCTGGCTCATAAACTTTTGTGATAAAACTATGATAAAGTCATGCTTTTAGCCATGTGGGTTGATAATGATAAACATACATATACATCACCATTTGTCGTCAGAGTCGTTAGTTTAAATAACAATTAGATTTTGATCCGCGCTTTTCAAACGCGGAAATTTTTTAGGATTAAAAATTTATATAATTGAGTTTTGTAATATATTTTGGTATAAAATCAGTAATCCAAAATTTGTGGTGATGATTGTCTTGCATTAGTTTTTAGTTTCAGTTTTTATTTTTAGATTTTGGTTTTTAAGTTTCTATTTTTGATTTTTAGCTTTTGGTTTGAGTTTTTAGCTTTTATATCCGTTGAGTTAGTTTGAACTCATAATTACCAATCTTAAGATCCAAAAAAAGTTGATCATTCAAATAAATTATATCTTAGATTCAGAGCTTTTTCACCTCGATCTTAGTCACAAGGATTCATGTTAACAAGTAAGTATATAATGAAAAGTTAAACCCTTGTCAGGTAGAGTCCATTCTCAAAGATTACAGTGCTTACATTAGCTAGAGCTGAACTGAATTAACACCAAACCAGATCAAATTTGAACGAAATTACTAAAATGATTAAACTCCAAGAAAGGATGAAAGAAACAAATGATATAAAGAGCAACTCAGAGAAAAAAGTCCAAACAGCAATACACTTTTCTCAGTTGTCACTTCCCAGTTCAATACAAAATACTTCAGAGCTGAATATTTAAAGTCACAAACCAAGAACACCTGAAAAAACCTCAAAAATAGTATCAAGAGATACAAATCAATCAAATCAATAAATATGAAAGCTGAAAAACAGACACACAAAAAACCAAACTAAAAGGAGAAATGATCAGCGGCTTCTTCTACCCCTCTTAAAACAGAGCACACAGTCTGATGAAAACACACAAAACTCAGAAGTGCTTTTATCATTACCACGTCACAAACATATATTTACTTGCGTTGAGATGTATTACCATTCGATCTTTCAATCTGAGTCACTCGAACTAGAGCTTGAGCTTGAGCTCGAGCTTGAAGAATTGGACTTACTCTTCTTCTTCTTTTTCTCCTTCTCCTTCTCCTTCTCCTTCTCCTTCTCCTTCTCTGTCTTTCCTTGTTGCTCTGAAGTTTCCGGAGTTTCTTTAGACTCAGGACTCATTACAATCACATCAGCGTTGCTTGAGGTCTCAGCTCTTGCTTCCTCAGACACAGCTTCATCCCTTACTGTTACATTACTAGAGTCACTGGCTTCTGTGGGATTCACCACTCTTTCAGAGATTACTTCCATTGCCATCCCCTCTTTTGGTTCAGAAGGTTTTGAGATGTCCTCCAGTGAACGAGTTTCGATAGACTGTACACTGGATGTAGTTCCCTCTTCCGTTCTACTTTCCTCTTTTTCTTCTTTCTCAGGTGTGTTGTTCAGAAGAACATTTGTCTCATCAAGAGACCTTTCTTCAACTGAAGACCCTGATGATTCGGTTTCAACTGCACTCTTGATTTCTCCAGACCCACCTTCTGACTCTGGTGACTTTGGCTGCTTGCTCATGCTCTCTTCAACAGCCTGATTCATAGCAGTGTCTAGATCATCCTTCGATGTAGCTTCCACAACTGTCATATCTGACTCGGTTCCATAATTCTCTTGAGCCAACTGGTCTTGAACGGTGCTAGGAAGAATAACATCTTCAACCTCAGATCCTTCATGTAACTGCTGGAAAGCAGATTCTATGTCTTCAACCGATCTCGCTTCCAAAACAGGCAGAGCTTCGTTCAGTTCGTTGGCAGTGTCTGATCCTATCGAAGATGGCCCAGGTTCAGAATCTGTCACAACTTCCTTAACACTGAAGTCTCCAATCGTGTCAAGTTCAGACAACAAACCTTCATCAATCTCTTTTATCTCGTCTGCCTCTTCGTTGATAACTTCAGGAGGAGTTTGAGATATTGCATGTAAATCTGTAAGCTGATCTAATCGCTCGACCACATGGTCAAGCTCGTCGTAGACAGTCTCTTGGAAGAACTCCGCCCTTGAGCCTTCGCCAATCATAGGTGTTTTGTACTCAGGAGACTCTGCTGGAGATGAGGATGTGTCCGATGTCAGACAAGATAAATCGGCTGTGTCTTCAGGAGCATCATGATACTCGTGGAAAGTGATGTTACGAGAAAAAACCACACTAACAGGAGTTGCACGAGCTGGTGTCTGCAATAACGCACACAACGGTAAGAAACAGATCGCTTGCTTAACAAATTGCAGAAAGAACAAAGAAAGAAGTCCCAAAAATTTATCCAATTCCAGCTAAGAACCACAAAAATCTAGATGAACACCATTGTCAAATATGACAAGAGGATGAGAAACAGGTTAAGTATGAGTCTGCGTCGAAAATATATTGCTGCACCATCAACTTATCTTTCATACATTCCCTCTAATATTTTGTAGATTATGATGCTAAGTATACCACACAGACTATCTTAATCTTAGAGGAAAGCACTAGAGTTCATATACCAAACTCATCAGATAAACGTTGTTAGTATGAGAAAAGATATGTTTCATGACTTACTTGATCTTCACCATGTTCAGGAGATGATTGTTCTACCACAGATTTATCAGACCAGGTCAGCTCTCTATCTGATTCATAAGGAGTCGTTTCTTCGGATCCCACATTTTGGACAGTAGCATTCACAGAGTCTACTTCAATATCCATAGTTTGATTGAGAACTGATGACTGAACTGGATCTTGTTCCGACTGCGAAACATCTTCGTCATTAAATGAATGCGCCTCAGCATACTCAACTGCTCCAGAAGACAAAGTGGAGTAACTGTCTATTGGGATGTCTGCATTGAATATTTGAGGAGTTGCTTCGTCCTTTTGTCTATCCTCTTCCTCGTGCATTATCCCTTCAGCTACTGATCTGTTTACTGAAGTTTCAGCTACGTCATGTACCACATCAGGTGATTCTCCATGAAGCTCTTCCAGGTCTTCACTAACATCTCGCGCTCTTGTATCTACCGCCTCTTTCACTTCTTCATGCAGCTCTCCTGTAACATGTGCGCTACTCTCTCCTACTTCCCTTGTAATTCTTTCGGTCTCATCAGAAGTGGAATGAATTTCCGCAGGACCACCAATGCTCTCAGAATAAGTTTCACCTTCATTGTCTGCATTTTCCTCTACTTCTTCCGCACTCTTTCCAGGTATATCTGGTTTGTAATCAGACGATACAGAAGAAAATGATGGGAACCTACTGCCAGAACGAGGACTCGTATCGTAAACAGGTTCTACGTGTTGGTCCTCCACCAAACCAGAAAGATCATGAGTTGCTAACTCCTCCATCGACGGGTGTGCAGTAATGAAAGCAGGCGCTACATCTTGGTTATAATCATCATCCACCCCTCTTGGAACATGGATTTCTAATCCTCCAAAAGAAGGCTGGGAAGAAGTTTCTGATTCTTCGTGAAGATCATCTTTCCGCTCCGAACCCATCACTGCTTCATTCTCACTAATATTCCCTATCTCCTCTTCTGTCTCTGATAAGGATGAATCACTATCACTGGAATCCTCTTCTTCATGTTTTGACTTATCAGAAGTTTCTCCGTCCGTCATGTTTGATTCCTCGTGGTGTGTTTCTGGACTTCCCAATACTATCTCAGCCACATCATGATGAAGATTTCTGCTATCAGGTTCTTCATCCGAATCAGAATCTTCTGACGAATGGCTTTTGTCTTCATCATGGTCCGAAGCTGAATGCGTTTTCTCTTCATCATGGTCAGAACCTGAATGGGTTTTTTCTTCATCATGTTCAGAAGCCGAATGGGTTTTCTCTTCATCATGGTCAGAAGCCATATCATCAGCCTTAGATTCTCCATCACCATCCTGTTCATCCACCTTCTTTTCGTCATCCTCAAGGATTGTACACACAGATTCAGAATCAGGAACAGAACTGACTTTTGATTCACTAACTTCACTGAGCTGCCTTTCATATGGATAATAGCTCGTTCCCTCATTAGCTAATCTTTCTAGCACAAAGAAAGGACGCAGCCTATCATGCCTAGGACCTCCGAGCATCGATGGACCAACACTAAAACTCTCATGTCTTCTGAACACTTGATCCTTCGGTTGTTGAGATGATGAGATCTCTTCCTCGAAACCTTCACCCTTGACGTCTGGCTTTTCTTCATTTGGATCAAATGGAGAGTCAAATGGGTTTTTCCTAGCGAACATAATGGACGGGGCAGAGCCAGGTATATCCATATCATCATACGGATCATACGGAAGATCAAATGGATTCTTTGCAGTTGAGATTGGTGGCATATTAAAGGGAATATCAGCACTATCAAAATCAATAAGATTTTTCTCTGCCATCATTCTCATATTGTGGCGAGCCCTTCTCCTGGCAATAAGATTCTCCAACCGTTGGTTTCTTTCAAGCTCGAGACTTCCAAGATCCATAACATTTTTCTGGTCAGCCTCTGTCCACTTGATTGCTGATTTGCTTTCATCATCCTTCTCCTCCTTCTTTTCCTCTTCCTCTTCTTCATCCTCATCTTCCTCCTCTTCCTCTTCGTTCTCGTTGTCACCCTCTTCTCCATTGCTTTCACTGTCAACATCAGACTCCATCCCTTCATCACTACTACTCCTATGTGGCCCCTCTGAAGCTGCATCTGATCCATCAAGATCCGCAACACCACCACGACCTGGATTCTCTGTGTGTAAAAGCGGGTGAAGCTCATCAAGCATGGGGATGATGTCAGTCATAGAAGGATCAGGTGAAGAACTTTCAGCACCATCAGAACCAGAATCAAGTGAGTCATCAGCATCATCATCCTCGTCCTCCTCATGCCTCATTGGTCTCCAAGGTGAAACTGGAGATACATCCATCTGATCTTCCTTTGAATCGTCCATCATTGCACCATTTTGCCTTCCAATCAGCTTCTCATCTTCCCCATCTCCCTTCTTATCCACGTCCACAACAAAAGCTCTCTCCTCAAACCTCACCTGAGTATCCCGTCTCACCTCATCAAGAGTCTCATCAACCAAAGGCCTATAATCAAAAGGTCTCCCATCATCATCAACCTCACTCAACAGATTCTCCACTAATCCATCAGCAACATCCTTCCCATCCAAAACCACATCTTTTTTCTCCTTCCCCAAGAATCTCTCCACGTGAAAACTCTCACCACCACTGTCTCTCTCAACAACAGTACTAGAAGGACCATCCCTAGAAACCTCGGTTCTAAAAGGAGCAGCCTCGTAGACAGTCTCCGGTACCTTCTCGATCTCCGGTACGTTCGGCTCTCCGAAACTCAGAATCGTTCCAAGTAACACCAAAGTGCACACCAAAACAGGAGATGCAACCACCAAGGCGGAGAACAGAAGAGGACAAGTTCTATGGAGAAGATACAAAAACCCAACGAAGCCGAGGAGAAAAGGGTGATCACAGATCCATCTGTAGGAGGTTCTGATCATAATCTCAAACGATCTCCGTACGTGAACTTTGAACTCCGACCGATCACTCATCATCTTTTTTCCTCTTCTTCCTCTTCTTCTTCTTCTTCCTCCAGGTTGTTTCTGTAAGAGCAAAACATTGAAACAAAGATAAAGTTAGAAGCTTTGATCGTGTTTATGATATAATATGAGAGTTTTGATTCAAAGGTTGAAACTTTTTTGATCAAATCACAAGCAACATTAGGATCCGATCTAACGCCCACAAAAAAAAAGGTAAATCCTTTCAATCAGATCGAGAATGGGATCAACAAATCGAAGATTACCCAAATCTGTGAGCTCAATCAGAAGGTTAGATCGTGGAGAAAATAGAGATCAAATGAGATAATTCAACAATTTTGTCATCACTTCGTTAGCCCTAAACTAGACAGAGAAAATAAAATGAAATGAGAAAAAAAAAAAAGAAGGGGGGGAGAGAGACGTGGGGAGGGTATGGAAAGTAGGAGACGTACCTAACGGAGGCTGAATTGGAGAGAGAGAGAGAGGGAAATAAGAAATGGTTGACTCAACAATCGATAGGGACGATGATGATGATGTTGAAGAAGGAAGAAGAGTGGGCTCTGTTGTTTGTTTTTAGCTTCTTTTTTTTTTTTCTTTACAGCAGAAGAAATGATCAATTCTTCGTTGGGCTCTTTTGTTATTAAGCTGGTTGGTGCTTTAGTGGTGGCGCCCCCTACTTTTCCTACCATTATTTTTTTGATTCTATTTCTAATTTTCCATTTTATTATTTTAAGAAAACATACTAGTAATTGTAATTATAAACAAAGTACATAATCCCCTATATATTAATTGAGAAACATTTGAAAAGATGTAACCTCAAGTTTGTATTAATTAAAAAGTAACCTTGCTTAGTTGTCAATCAATTAGCATATCAATTAAACTGACGTGGCGGCTTTAGGTTCATTTGAAATTTGCTAGGGAAAAATAATTAGAGACGCATATAACACATGTAACATAGTTTATATATTTATATATATCGCACACATGTAATGGAAGAAAAGGAAAATATACGATTTGATAACGATTTGCATATATTAACTATAATAACTTCATTCCTTTTAATTTATGGAAGTGTATATGTAAAATGGAAAATACTTAAATTCAAATAATCATAACGTAATTTATAAATCATTGGTGTAAAGTTTTGTTACACAATATGCAAATAATCATAAAATCATATGAGTAGAAACCTCATTTAATAAATATCCATATTAAAAGTGTGCTATATGACTATGTTTATATCATTTAAATTTAATTATATATCATATACAATATATAAGATTGATTATTTTGATTTATTTACCCTAATTGTGAATAAACAAGAGTAATAGTTAAATTTATATGCATACGCCNTATATCATTTAAATTTAATTATATATCATATACAATATATAAGATTGATTATTTTGATTTATTTACCCTAATTGTGAATAAACAAGAGTAATAGTTAAATTTATATGCATACGCCAATTTGTTACATAATAGTAATTGATTTCTTAGTTATTTAATATATATATATTTATTATTTTATTATTTATAATATGCAGAAAAAATATAAAAGAAATAATAAATATAAAATACTTATTATGAATAAAGTGCAGATCTTAACCTAAGTATTTATCTGTTTAATAATTTTAAAACTTAAATATTTTCTAAATTTCAGGTCAAAACAAACAAACGAAATGAGAATAAAATTCAAAATAAATATTTATATCGAGTAATAACCAAAATATAAAAAAAAACATAGCAAGAGAAAAATGGAAGATAAATAGGATTGACACGTGAACGTGAACTTCTCATAGCTGGAAGATAAATAGGATTGACACGTGAACGTAAACTTCTCATAACCATAATTAATTTTTAAATTGTTAAATCATGATATAAAACTGAGTTAATTTTTAATTTGTTAACTTTTATTTTTTTTTAATTTTTTAAATCATTATGGCTATGTTAAATCATGACAATAATTAATTTTAAATTGTTTATTTGTATTCGAAAAACTTAAAATATTGCTTTTAAAAATAATTTTCAATTTAACATAATTTTTTAGAAAATTATTTTTAAAAAATATAATTTTCTAATATTATTAGACAAATAAATAAATTATATTAAATTAGTTTAGAAACTTTATATATTTTAATTGCAAATATTTTACCAATTGCTTCTTTAAAAACATTAGGGAACTTGCTATACTATACCAATCAAGCCCAGTGACACTCCATTTATTTTCCATCACTCGAACACTGAAAAGTAAGAAGATATATGAAATCAGATCCATTAAATTCTAAGATTTGATTTACATTTCTAATTAAAATTGTTTTTGATCATACGTATAGATAATTATATAAAAATTCCAAAATTCTAAAATTTCAAATACATACAAAAACAATCATATGTAAATTTTAAATTTGTGAATATTAAAATTTTATATTTTAATTACATATATTCACCCTGNAAGATTTGATTTACATTTCTAATTAAAATTGTTTTTGATCATACGTATAGATAATTATATAAAAATTCCAAAATTCTAAAATTTCAAATACATACAAAAACAATCATATGTAAATTTTAAATTTGTGAATATTAAAATTTTATATTTTAATTACATATATTCACCCTGCGCAAGGCGCAGGTCTTATCCTAGTTAATTATTATTTTAAAATTAAAATAATTAGTTAATGAGTATAAGCACGTAACAAAAGATTGTCTGAATAATTGTATCTAGAAGCTGAGTATGTTCGGTCAATTACCTGAACTCAAAAGAGCTTCCATTTCAATGCTATCATTAATCCTGAACTCAACACTGGCTATGTCAATGATCCAAGAAAAAAGCTGGATTCATTTGGAATGTTATATAATGAAAATAAGTAATGATACAAGCAGAAACATAAAATGTTTGTTATCTTGATTGATCTGATACAAAGCAAATACTAATTAATTACTGCGATGTAGATAGAAGAGTTCTCGGTAATAACAGAGCAAGATGCTATTTGTTTTACAACATACCACTTTGTTTTCAGTTTTGGCTTAAACTCGATCAGATCTTGATGCTGCTGCTTATTTCTTCTCCCAATCTTTCATCTTCTTGCTCCCCTTTGGTTTCTCAATAGGAGCATTCATTCCTGCCATTTTCTTGTTGTATTTCTCTCGTAGAGGATCATTAGAAGTCCACCTGCACAAATCATTCATTATGTAAAAAAAAACATAATAAATTCAAAAATCTGCACCTCCAAAAACAAACAAACAGATACAAGTTTCCCCCCTAACATAACTCAGTTCAGTTCTCAGCTTATTGTTTCTACTCAAACGTTAATTAAATCAGTCTTCAGAAGCCTATGGGCTATGACTAACCATAATAATACACAAACAGATACAAGATTCCCCCTAGCATAACTTAGTTTAGTTCTCAGCTTAATGTTTTTACTCAAATGCTAAATAAGTCGGTCTCCAGAATCCCATGACTAACCAAATGTAAGAAAATAAAAAAGACTTACGGGTTACTCCAATCTGTTGTATCCTCATTGACAAGGTGAGTCCATTTAGTTCTCCCACTACGACCAAAGTGCTTGACTTGCATAACTTTCGGCAATATCGATTTATCCAACCTATCTTCACCCGTTGGTTCAGAGAAGTCACGTTGAAATATACCATCAGTCCCCACAGATCCCGCCTCATCATCAGGATCCGCTTGGAAGAAAGCACCCTTATGATAATACTTCTGCATAAAGTTCCATTTCTTCTTCGGTTGAGTCGAAGAAGCTTTCGGATTCTTCCTCTCCCACTCTCTCCTCTCCTGCTCCGTCATGTTCCTCAGCTTCTCTACCTCCTCCCTCTCTCTCAACATAGCTTCCTTCGCATCACGCTCTCTCTTGATCCTAGCGATCTCCCTCGTCTTCCACACTTCGTACTCCTCAGCTTCGTTGATCTCGTCATCGGTTTCAACATCTCCAACGTTTGCTTCTTGTAATAACATGTTCTTACGTATCTCCTCGTCTTTCCTAACTTCCTCAACAACTATCTGCTTCGTCTCTATCTTCCTCATCTCGAGCTTCCTCTTTGCCAACTCCTCCAAAGCTTGCTCTTCTGCTTCAAGCCTCTCACGCTCCGCAACAGTATCCCTCTCAGCTTTCGGTACGAAAACAGGTTTGATCATTGCAATACCACCATGCATATCGTCTTCAGAATCAGTCTCGTACTCAGACTCATCTTCCTCCTCATCCTCCTCATCCTCCAACTCGTCTTCTTCCTCCTCCACAGGAGCCTCCTCTTGAGCTCTCTTGAGATTCTTTTCCCTAATCCTTCTCCTTCTTTCTTCCAACGCATCTTCATCTTCTTCTTCCTCTTCTTGATTATTCCTTAATTCCTCCTCTTCAATGGATACAATCTCAGCTTGTCTTACACGTCGATGATCAGCTCTGACTTCTTCACGATTCTCACCTCTTGTCTGAGCTAAACGACGTAGTCTTGGATCGTCTTTTATAGCAACACCTGAATAATCATCATTCTTTCGATCCAAAGCGTCGACCTTGTGCATTCTAACATCCTCATCTTCCTCGGCTTCATCGGCCCATTCGGGAGCTTTACCAGGCCAGTATCTTTTCACTTTGGTCTGTCCAATGCCGCCTCGTAGTTTGGCACGTGTGGCAAGTGCGGCTTCACTCACTCCTGCTGTCACAGACATCTTTGCACTTTCGCGTGATCAATCTGATACAAGGTTTGGCATCATTAGTATTAAAACAAGAAAAGAAATGAACATATTTTCAAAATTTGAATGAAACAAGTTGTAATCGACAAAAGGTGTTCTGTAATAAACCGACATCAATGATATGACTCTGCGTATATCTCAAACATGTTCTGAATCTAGAGTAAGCGCAAAAACAGATTCTAACACGTAAATAAAGCAAATCCGGAAGGAAAATGACGAGAAATAAACGAACTTACCACTTTGGAGAAGCTCTAAAGGGATCAAAGTGAGTGGATTCCAAATCTGAATGACCCCGTGGGAAAGAAACCCTAAGGAACGTGGCGTGACGGAGGGGAAGTAGACGGTGACTGGAGGAGGCTCGAGACCGGAGAATGTTACAAAACGTGAAAACGCATTAGAAACACTATTGGGCTTTAATAGGCCCGTTTTAAATATTTTTGTTTATATTGGGCCTTCTTCAATATAACATGGTAATGGTTAACTATTGAGAGGTTGAGAGACTTCCTGAGAAAACCTCTCTAAACATGTAGTATCTTCTTTGTCATTTATCTATTTCTCTGTTCTACAAGTTTGGATACGCAAACCGTATCACAATGGTTGTCTCATGGATCATCAAGCCAATGAGGTGATGATGACTGATGGGTCACCAATTGGCGAAATGGCAGACCAAGTTAGGCTCCTACTTAAAGCAATCTCCAACTCCACTCCATATTTTACTGTAAAATGGAGTGGAGAATGGAGTGGTGAAGAAATAAAAATCTCATTACTCCATATTTGAAGTAATCATTTTTTTGTTTCTTCATCACTCTATTTCCCATTTCATTTTACAGTAAATGATGGAGTGGGTTGGAGATGCTCTTACACTACACTTCAGCAACTTGACGATATACAACACTAATCACAACAATGTTTTATAGCTCCCATAAGGCATATCTGCTAAAATTTTAAGATTATTCCTGTCAAATTCTCGACTATTCAGATTATTTGGTTACCAAAAAAACTTTCTTACCAAGAATATGATCAAGGCCAGCTAACAGTTCACTCCCATGGTTCTTTTTGAAGTAAAACACACCCAGTTCCCTTTTTTTTTGCCAGCTAACTGATCAGTAACAAAATGCTACACTCTTACGTTTGGGTAGCAACCACTAAGGTAACCAATCGCTACAAATAGAATTTAATCAGCAAGAATGTCTTTTATGAAAGCAAATAAAGAACAGGACAAAGATGACCATGATCAGAGCTATAGCTTTATGCAATCACGCAACCACAAAGCAAAACTTATGTAACTGCATTTAAACCAAACAACAGAAGAAAAAGCTTGAAGCTTTAAAACTTCGCAGTTTGGCCCATTCATTCACCGTTCAAACACAAAGTCAAATAACAAGAAAACAGACAGCTTAAAACAGAAACACATTAAACAGAACACAGACACCAACATAACTTCTCAACTAGGTTCCAACATAACATAATCAGACGGCACCACCTGAAACCAAATCTCCGGCGGTAACGGTAGTGGCACCACCGTCGTCGGAGGAAACAGCGAGAGGAGACCAATCCGGAGGGAGAGGAGGAAGAGGAGCATAAACGGTAGGCTTCCTCTTAATATCCCAAGGCTGCGTCTTCTTCGGCCTCGTCTTCCTATGATGAGCCGTCGATTTCTTCTGCGGCCTCGACGAACACTCTATCACCATCCCTAATCCTCCTCCCACTCCTCCGTTCCCCAGCTTCGGAACCTGAAACTGACGGAGAACCGGAGAGGAAGACGCCACGGTGGCGATTCCAGTGCCAAAGATCGCTGACACAGACATTGTTTTCGTCTTATCTTCTTCTCTGCTTGCAGTGGAAATGAGTATGAGAGCGCCTCTAGCTTCGGATTAGAGAAGAGGATAAACCATATCCTTTCTATTGGGCCTTATATCAGCCCATTATCGAATTCTATTGGGCCTTGTAACGGCCCATTATCGAACTCGTTATGAAAAGCCTGGATAAATAAATTTAAATCACATTTAAGAGTAAACCGGATACCGTTTTCGGTTTGATTCGGTTATCACGAACAAACAAGACCTTTGAACCGGCGATACCTCCAAAGCTAATCATCATCATCATCACCAACCTTCTTCTTCTTCTTCATCTCTCTATTCGATTTTCGAAATCTAGATCTAATCGACGATGAACACCGCTTTAGATTTTGCTTTTCCCGCGAATTCGAGTTTTATTGGCGGGAGAACTCGCCGCGTGTCCCCTTCTCCTAGATTATTCGGTTCCTGCGTAAGAGTGTGTTCTCTTCCTCCTCCTCCTTCTTCATCTCTCAAGGTTAATATCTCTTCTCCTTAGATGTAAATTGTAATGTTCAATCCACGTGGAAAAAAAACTCAATAAAATCACCAATTTACTAATATCGTCTTTTAATCTCAAATTATTCCCATTATGATGTTGATTACGAGTATTAGCATTAGTAAAGAATCATTATTTGTTAAATTTGAGTATATTTTGTTTTTGATTTGGTTTTTGTAGGCTGAGTCATGTTTAAAAAGAGATGTGAACAGACAAAGAAGCAGTCTGGAGTCAATGTTCTGTTACGACAAGCCAATACCTGAAGAGATCATCGATGAGCCTGTCGGATTATCTATGTCCGAGAGAGAGATTGGTGATAATGAGCGTTGCGGTTGTTGTGAAGCGAAAGGTGCATTGCTTTGTGCCACTTGCTCTGGGACTGGTTTGTATGTTGACTCTATTATGGAGAGTCAAGGCATTATTGTTAAAGTTCGTTGCTTAGGTTATTTTTCTTATCCTTGCTTCTTTTTTTTTCTTTTTTTTTCTTGTTGAAGTTTGTGTATGTTTTATATTTTAACCGTTTGGTGTTTTTTTTGTTGTAGGTTGTGGTGGAAGTGGTAATATTATGTGTAAAAGTTGTGGTGGGCGTGGTTACGTAGGTCATTGATGACAACCCCCAAGTTTCACTTTGTTTTCAGTCATGGTTTTGTACTCGTTTTACTTGTTTTGCCACATTTTCTCTGATATTATTGCAGAATCCCACCTTTGTCAGTTCCATATATAGATTTGTGTTCATGTACTGATGTAGTTCACAATCATGTAAAAGACTCAATTCATCTTCTGTTGTTAGATACAAAAATTGTTTCCTAAATGAATGTGACTAAATCAGAAATTATTCCCTTTTTTTACCACTTTTGTATTCAGATACAGACAATGGAAACCAATCGTGGTTTCGACTTTGTATGCACATTCCTTCCCTAGCTGCAATTTGCACAAGAAGCTGAAGAATCTCCATTCTCAAGCTTGAAAAAAGCCTTAGAGAGATTGAAAAGAAAATAAAAGAAAAAGGTATTTTCTTGTATTAAGTGGATATGTTCTTCTGTATGTTTTTTCTTCTTCTTCCTCATCTCAAACTCGCCCAATATATTTTGGAATTGGCTTTGTGGATTCTTAGTATAATCTACATAGTAACCCAATACACATTCTCGCAGCAGCCGAAGAAACTCTCCCCTGAAACATACACCAAAAAGCCAAGTACATGAGGTAATACTAATATACTAAAGCCGTTTTGAGTCTCCGTCCTGCAATTTGATAATGAGATATTACCACGAAGTTTTTGATGATGAAAGCATAGAGAGTCAGTTGAAAGGAGTAATCCATATGGATCATAAACCTCCCATATTCTTGCAGTTAATGCAGAGACTACACCAGTTGCATTTTGAGTTTGTAAAAACTCAATGTAAATTTCCTGACGAAATCGATGTAAATTTCCTGAAATCACATAATTCATCTAGTTAATCTCAACTAAAAACTACTATATATTTGCACATAGTATTGAAAAAACGAGTTCAGAAGATAGTGTATCACATTATTACAAGCAAATCATCTGAGCCGTGACAGCTTCTTCACACAACTCGCCACGAAACCGGCTTTGAATTAATCATAAATCATATAATGTAAGCATCAATAATACTATTCCCAAACCTCATTGTCGCTTTTCTCAGGAAACAACTTTCTTCTTCGATCTTTTCTTTCTTTTACTTTAGACTTGTTCATATTTCATTTCACTCGTTTTCCAGAAATCTCTTAAATGCTGTCTCTTGTGAAATTTTAAACTGTGTAAGAATACTAATAATATTAACATCCCAAATTCAAAATTTAAGCATTGTTGTGAGTACATTACGTGGAACAATTGATGTGGTATATATGCTTTGATCATCAATGTTTGATGTATTATCATATATATATATATATTCGTTAACTAGTGTCTTTTCATTAGAACAAAATTGAAAATCCATTAAAAAGAGTTTAAAATTAAATATTTCCTCAATTCATAAGTTGGTGTGGGGCAATTATATTCGCCTGTTGTACAATGTAACATGTGCCATTGACTAAAATTAAATGAAACAGATACAATTAACGGTAATGCCTTAAACTTAAATCCGTTGTATTCTCGCAAGTCCATCAAATCATTTCCAATCATCATATAAAAGTCTTATTAATAGGAGTATATACATATAGTTAGTTTAAAATAATTATGTTAAAGCCAACTGGTTTTAAAGAAACAACCCGTTCCTAGTACTTACTATCATATCATTTAATTTAAATCTTTCTTTCTATTGACCTAAAAAAAATCGAAACCGGCGAAGAAAAACTGAAAGTAATATAGATTACGATGATACTGCCACCTTATCGTCTATGTAATTTAATTACAATTCTACTACTATCGACTTAGCTGGATCAAATTTTCAGCATATCTTATAAAGTATATAAATTTATAAACTCACAACATGGCAAAGGATAGTTCACTAAGTCGCTCGCACGCCTTTGCAAAAAAACTTAGTTCTCTCCATATTATACCTTTGACTTTCACATGTACTCGGCACACATAAGAGAGATATATTTATTTTATAAATTTGAATTGTTCTCACGTCGGTTGAGTTCTTAGTATATATACCTCGTAGTTGATCTCAAGTGTCTTCCAATCCCTTCCACAAGAAGAAGAACTTCTTAACTACCTACAAAAATGATGAAGTTTTCCTCTCTTCTTGTGCTTTTCTTTGTTTTCCCTATCGCATTTGCTCAGCTGCGAGTAGGGTTTTATAGCCAGTCATGCCCTCAAGCCGAGACCATCGTACGCAATCTTGTGCGCCAACGGTTTGGTGTTGACCCAACCGTCACAGCTGCTTTGCTCCGTATGCATTTCCACGACTGTTTCGTTAAGGTAATAATCTAATATAGCATCTTGATATGGCTCAAACATGTCCAAAACATTCTATGTCGTTTTTAGATTAAATAATCTTATTTGTTTGTGTGGAAGCAACATATTTGTGTATAAAATGCAATTTTAAAAGTTATCATAAAAAAATACTGTATGCAGGTTTTATTAATTCTAACGTAGCTTAATTAACTCTCGATACAATATGTTTTTCTTTTCGATCGATTAGAAAACTTTTTTAATAAATAAGTGTTTTCTAAAAAAAAATATCGGATTTTTTAATATTGTATAAATACGGGTCTTGTAATTTATTTACTGACACTATATATACAAACCTTAAAAGGAAATTTACCTAAATAGAGTTCTATTCTTTTTTTTTGCAAGTTCAGAACAAATTAATATCATGACTAATTTTATTTTAATATTTTTGTTCATTCTTCGTAGGGCTGCGACGCTTCCATTCTCATTGACGGACCCAACTCTGAGAAATCGGCCGGACCCAACGGAAGCGTTAGAGAATTTGCACTCATCGACCAGATCAAGACTCAGCTAGAGGCGGCATGTCCATCCACGGTCTCATGCGCTGACATCATCACACTAGCCACACGTGACTCCGTGGCCTTAGCCGGAGGCCCGAGCTACAGCATTCCCACGGGAAGGCGTGATGGTTTGGTCTCAAACGATGTTGACGTGGCCCTTCCGGGTCCAACAATCTCCGTTGCCGGAGCCGTCGGTTTGTTCACGGCCAAAGGGATGAACGTGTTCGACGCTGTGGCTCTTATTGGTGCACATACCGTTGGTAAGGGAAACTGTGGTCTATTCAGTGACAGGTTCACGAATTTCCAAGGAACTGGACGACCTGACCCGTCCATGGACCCAGCTTTGGTTACCAGGTACTTTTTGAACCAACTCAGTTCAATCATTTACACACCATAACTAAGTTAAGTGTTTTGAAAATAAATAAATTAAGATTAAATTCATTGAAAGTATAAATAAATTACTTACGAAGGAACATAATTCTAACTTTGAAAAGATTTTAATTTTCTTATCCTGGTATATATCAGTTTAATTGTTGAAAATGTTAATTTTATAACAGCCGAAATCTTCAAAAATGTACCAAGTTGAATTATTTTTAATATATGACATTTTCTGTGGTGGACATTTTATAATATATATATAGTATTTTTTGGTGTCGAATATATATATTTTTAAAGACATAGTTTTCATTAAAGTTCGAAAAAAATATTCATGAAAACTTAAGCAAATTAATTTTGCATATTTTTCTTCGATAAACTAGTTTTGCATGTTACCACGAATATGGTAGTCCAGTTGGTTTAAGCGCATGCGTATGTGCTGTTGTGCTTGATCTACCGTGGGAGGGATACTTTATGTCATAGGCCTTGTCTCCATGATATCAATGGGAGGGATACTTTATGTCATAGGCCTTGTCTCCATGATATCAATGCTTCCAGATTTCGGGTCTGAGAGATTATGGTCTTGTCCCAGAACCTCTAGATAATTAAAAAAAAAACTAGTTTGGCATGTTTTCTTGAAAAGTAACTTAAGCTAATTAGTTTTGCAGGCAAAACAAGATTTATTATTCTAATTCATAGAAATACTAATCAGAATGTGTTATTGTTCTTGTAATGTAGTTTAAGGAACACATGTGCAAGCAGCGCGACAGCTTCACTAGACCAGTCGACTCCACTAAGGTTCGACAACCAATTCTTCAAGCAGCTCCGTAAAAGGAGAGGAGTGTTCCAAGTTGACGCTCGGCTCGCCTCAGACCGATTGACTCGTGGTGTTGTGGCTCGATATGCAAACAACAATGCCTTCTTCAAACGTCAGTTTGCTAGATCAATGATAAAGATGGGAGCCGTTGATGTGCTTACCGGTAATGCTGGTCAAATCAGGAGAAACTGCAGGAGGTTCAACTAATGAGTTTGATGAACTACTATTAAGTGTGAAGATCATTATATTTGAAAACATATTGTTTCAAATCTTATTTGTGTTTCTAAACATTTTTTTTTGTTTTGTTGGGGGTTTTATGCTTAAATAAGGGTTTTCGTGGATTGGATTTATGGTTTTAATTCTCGAAAAACTAACTATATGCTGGTCTAATATGGAGGATGTATTCTCATACGATTATTTTGTGGTGTTGACAATATTGGTCAAGTATCTTTGTTATGATTAATCATATATAAAAAATCAATATTTGGTTTGTTTGTTTTGCAATGCAATTAAAAAATGATAAATACATGAAAGACTCAAAGATTTAGAGGTTTCATACAAAGCAATCAGAGAAGTTTGTGGCCATCATTTTATTTTCCAATGCAAAATGACCTGAGAAGTGTTTTAGGTCTATCATCCTTGAGGTGGACAATCGCACCATACTTCTTTGCATGATAACATATCATTCATTTTGTCAACACAAGTTTCTGAAACGCCTTAGTTGTACCCTTTCATTGGTTGAAGATTTTGAAGTATGTGAAATGCTATCAAAAAAAAAAAAATGCTATCTCTGAGAGTAGTAGACCGAACAGAAAAAGGGCATTTTGGTGGGTATTAAGAAATATAGGCTTTGTAATGGGCTAATGATATTACTTAGTAAGCTTTTGTATCCCCCGCTCTCTCTTACCTTACCTTATCTCTGTAATATTATTTGAGATGTTAGTTTTCTACGTGTCGCACTCACGTTAACTCTCGCAATGGTTGATTTCATAGATACCCTTAATGAACTATTAGATTTTAATATTATTATTTTATTTTTTTTAACCTTTTTCCAGATAACATATATAATAAAAGGAAATATTTTTAAAATTTTAAAACAAATTCTAAAACGAAATATATATATATATATATAATAGGACTTTATTAAAAAAGAAAATTAACAAAATAGTAATACCCCCATTATTATATATTTTAAATAAAATAAATATATTTTTAAAATAAGAAAAATATATATATGTTCGTGAACATCTAAAACTTTATCAGTTACACTTTATTTTCTAATATTTTTTAGAAATCAACATAGAATTTGATAAATATTATGAAAATACATGTATATTTAAGCGATAAATAAAACTAATTTGATTTAACTTAACTAAAATAAAGAGTAAATAAATATCATGAAAATACATGTATATTTAAGCGATAAATAAAACTAATTTGATATTACTTGACTAAAATAAAAAGTAATTATACTTCAATTTTAATTTAAAAAATATATTTAACTCAATATAGTCACAAAGTGAATGACTCGACTGATCTAATTTATATCCAAAATTAAACATCTTATAATTTTATAATAATAATATATTTAATTTTATACATATAAATTAGAGGTTTACTCAAAGCATATTAAAAAAAAAAATTAATCAATTTATATGCATGATACTTTAAAATATTATCATTATATTCATTTATGTAATTCTGAATTAAACACTTCAGCTTATTATTTATTTCATTTTAAGCACAATATATATTAATTTATACATAATTTAACTATAATATATTTACATATCTAAAGACAATAATCAACCGAAATAAAATAAGAAAATTAATCTTTTTATTCTATTTAGAATTAAAATATTATAACTGAAGATATTATCCCATATACCAAATTGATAACCAAATTGATTATTGATCAAAAAAAATAATTAAACCGATAATAATATATCCAAATTCATATGTATAATTAGAATAATGTAATATTTATTAATATAAATTATACATATAAATTGATTTAAAACTAAAACTAAAATATCAATCAGTGATTATAAAATTTTAGTTTTATAAATATTTATAACCGTGCATGAGCACGGGAAAATCACCTAGTTAAAATGTTAAACAAACATTCCTAGAATTAACCAGGTAAAACAGAAGAAACTAAACCATTTTCTTTATCGCACAACTTGTTCCCTTATCATGAACCCTAATTAATCAATAAGCTCCAACTCCAAGAAAATCAAAGAAGTATAAGCCACTCTTCAATTTCATCTCCACCTCCCTTTCACTGACGGTGATAGTGTGGTGATTTTGATGGTCCATTTTCTTACAATTCATGCCATTTACTTCTGCTCTCTGAACACATTGGGCATCTTTACCTGCAAGATTATAATAATTTCCTTAGCCACCACGTGATTTTTTGTTGTATTGAAAGAGTAACGTGACATTGTACTACAGTTCCCTCTATTATTACACCTATAGGTACTATTACGATGTAAAACACTGTTTCTGTCTCTCTAGAGTCATTCAAGTTTGCTATTAATTATTGCCATTTATATGAAAACTATTGGAAGTGGTCACTCGTCGTACGTCGGTTGTATAACATGTATGCCAAATTTATCATTTAATGTGCTTCGAACATCTAAAAAACATACTCCTCCGTTTCATATTAAGTGTTGTTGTAAGGATTTTTTCGTTATAAAATAAATGTCGTTTTCGGTTTTCAATGCAAAATTTATTAATTTTATTATGTAATTTATTTTTTATCGGTTAAAATGTGATTAGGTGTATAGGTAATTATGTTTTTATAGAAAATATGTAAAATTAATTGTTTTCTTAATCGGTGTGTATAGCTATAAAGTGATACTTATAATGAAATACATGGAGTATTAACAAAGTTTCAATACTCTTCACATCTCAAGAATGTCATAATTAGATAATTTCTTTTTTTTTAAAAGAAACAAAGTACTAACGTAATAAAAATATAATAAAGCAAGCTAATAAATGCATAAATTGTTACCTGATGCAACAAGGTAATAATCATCATGCAAGAAGCGTGGCTGGTGAGCTGAAGAAGGTGGAGTGAGAGAGAGCTCCGTCGTACAAGTAGAGACAGCTGAACCATCCTCATCATCTGCTTCGTTGACCAAAGTACCCTCAGCGACCCTACCGAAGAACCCACCATGATTATATCCGTACGAGGACGATACTGTCATTTCTGCGTTTCCTGACGGTGCATGAACAGGCTGTTGACTTTGATCTCGTTGACTTTCTCTAGTCCGTCGAGACATGAGGACGTGCCAATGGTTCTTGACGGCGTTATCGGTCCGACCCGGGAAGAGACGTGAGATTAAAGACCACTTGTTGCCGTAGGCTCGATGAGCAGTTAAAAGCCTAGACTCTTCTTCCTCGGTGAAGGCTCTCTTGTTAATTCTTGGGTCTAGTTGGTTAAACCATCTCAGTCTACAACTTTTGCCTGAAATCAGTTTAAGACGCATCACTATTTATCCTTGAAAAAAAATTAATAGTTAATGATAAATATGTCACTGACGTTAGCTTCTATCTAGTCATTAAAAACGAAAAGAAAATCTGTCACTGATGTTTATGATTGAATACTTAATAGCACTAAATACATATTTGTCTAACTAGTATATATTTTAAACTCTCTATTTTTATTCGTAGGCAGTAATTTTGAAGAAAATCTCCTTTTGTCAAATGGAGAAAATACTTATTTGTAAGAAACATAACTTTTTGGATACATTTTTATTTTATTTTATAAAACAGAATTAATTCTCCAATCTTAATAGTTGAATAAATATTTACAATCACCAAATTCTGAGTGAGAAATGAAGGTAATAATAAGCAGATAAATAAAAGTACATAAATGTGTACCTGATCTACCAAGAATGTGGTGAGCAACCAAGTTCCAGTTTTGGGGACCAAACTGAGCAACAAGCTCCATGAGTTTAGCGTCTTCTGTTGGTCTCCAATGTCCTCTTGAACATAATTTTGTGTTCCTTTCATTTTTACCACTCCTTTTCAAACTATTTTCGTTTTCACCCCTCTCCAAGACTGAGCCTGATTTGTTGTGAAGATGGTTTCTAGCGAGAGAGAAGTTAGTGTGCGAGTTTGGTGCTGATCCGAAGTTGTTTGCTTCTTCGAACCTTCTTGAGAGCTTGATGGTTTTGTTACCTGTTAAAACTCTCTCTGTGAGTTTTGGATTCATTTCGTTTTCTTTCTTGGGTTAGGGATTAAAGGTATAGAAACCAAGAATAGGAGAGAAAGAGTGAGAGCACTCGAATGTCTTTCCACTGTTTATATGGTGGAAGAGGAAAGATAGATTCTCTATTTTATTTTATTTGACTGACATTTATTTACAAGTAAATAATATACGATTTTATTACATCATATCGATAAGAATACTTTAAGAATTGACGTTAAGTTGTTATTCTTAAAGTATTTGAGAAAAATAAATTGATAGCTAGTTTATTCACCTATCAAAAGGTGCAGATGACATTTTATCACATATTATACTTAGTCAGATATTGTATTTTCTATCATCTTTATGGACCTTCATAATTGAGGTTAGATTTATCATTTAAACTATACTTTTATTGGTGATCTTGAAAATTCTTTCGCAGAAAGTGTCATAGTATGAAAATTTTCTCATCAGTATCTTAAGGAGCTTCTTGTTAATTTTTTTTTGTTATAGATTATACATTGGAAATGACTTATGCTCAGTTTTTCAGGTTGTTATTTCTAATTAACGATAATTTAAACTAATATGATACTTTTAGTTTAGTACACTCATACATACTCTCTCTCTCTCCACACGAGCAAAAGTAATTGAAAAAGTCGGTGGGTACGTGTGGTGTTGTTGCATGCAAAACGAGAACCGCTCGTGCATGTTGAGGGTTCGATGACCATAGGCCCCACAGACTCAACAGTCTCGGAAACTCCAAAAACATTTTCGAACCGCTCGTGTAGCTCTACTATTACACACATACATATAATGCACGTGTGCAACGTACGAACGTCTGTGTGAGAGCTAATTTTGGGGAAACAACAAATCAATTTTTGTCTATTTCGGACACAAAGCAAGAAAAGATCTTAAAGGGCGTGAAAAATTGCTTTTCTCACTTTTTTTCTGTTCTCCATAACGTATATAAATGTGTGTGTGTGTGTGTATCATCCCTTTTTCAAAGAATTCGTTATATTTTACTAAAATAATTTTAGAATTGAATACACATTTGAATGTAAAAGTGTTTTTATGCGCCACAGCATGCATAACTCTGTTCTTGATATGACGATATAGAACAATAATTTAATTAGAGAAAATAGTCTTTTTAATATAATTAGAGAAAATAGTTGAGTTATAGTATTTCTAGTAAATTAGAACTATGGAAGCAAATATAAACATATATTGCAAATACGTCTGAAAGATTAAAATAGAGCGGGGAAATGTAACTGAAACCCAACATGGAATTAAATTCAACAAAAAAAACAGAGACTAAAGTGAGCATAGTACAAAGAAACGTTATAAACGAAATAAAAGTGTTACAAAGTATTATTATAGTGTCTTGTTTTATGTCAGTTTCGGTTATGGGAACGGTTTCGCTAATTTTGAATATTTCTGCTGACAACAAACAAAAATAAAGTCTTGTATCAACCTGGAATGACGACACCATGAACTGTTACACACGAGCGGATCGTTTTCCTAATCCTACCTAACATGTGTCACGTATTTCTGTTTCCAGTTCAAAGAAATATCCTTGAACCGTTATGGCCCAGTTCAACATTTTATCTTGAATAATACTTATTAATTACATTTTACAAACAAGAAAAAATCGACCATGGCATAACTTTGTACTATGAAAGTTTTGGAACTGTATTTTGAAAACTAATTGGTATTAGTCAGTTGTGATTATTGTATAAGTATGATAACCTCAATTAGCACTAGTACGATTTTAGTTAATGGACTTGCATTTTTTCTGTATCGTTTTAGTATGAATTTATTTTTAGCAACTATGAGACCACATACCATTTGACTAGTTTTTATCTTAGTAGTCTAACAAATCGTTTTACAGAACCATAATAAAACAAAAGGTGGAGAGAGATAAGGGATAATTCGAAACTCCAGATTATAAAATAAAAGTTTGGGTAATCATGAGAAATTACACTAGTTACACTCACTTAGAGAAAGTTTCTTGATTAATAATAAAGGGGTCACTTTAACTAATTTGAGGAATTTCAGGCTTTATCTCATGAGGTAATGACATAAAGTGTCTCTATATATAAGTTAATTATAAATAATGTCAAAGTTGTTAGCCGGTCTATTGCACTTGTGGCGTGGAACTAACATATTACATCAGAGTGAATAGTAGTAATTCGTTTATGATAAATTAAATACAATTTGGGGGAATTAATGAGGTTATATACCTTACGGACTAGATTGAAAGTCATTATCGAGACAGTTAATTGTCCACGCACTCACCGATATTTAAGTCCACATGGATCCAAAGGAAAAAAGTTTAACTAAACCAATATAAATAGTTTAATGGCTGCGAAAGTATTAATCAAAATAATATTAGTCAAAAGTTGACGGCAGTGATCGCCAACTAATCCACACCACAATGATTCCCAAGTCGACAATAATAGAATTACACTCTCCGTCTTACCACCACTGAATCATTGATGTATTATAAGTTATAAAGTTTCATTTTAAATCAAAGTTCAAAAACATACTATATCTTTGACATTATGTTACAGGTTCTAAAACTAACAAATTATGAAAATTCGCCATAAGTTATAGTCTTTGGATTTTAAATACATAATTTACATTTACAGTAGAACCTCTATAAATTAATATTCGATAAATTAATATACACTAAATATCTCTATAAATTAATATAATTTTAAAATCTCAAATTGAATTTTTGGTTCAATTAATAAGTATATCTATAAATTAATATCTCTCTAAATTAATAAAAAAATAAATTTTTGGTGTAATCCCAACATTATTAATTTATAGAGGTTTCGTTGTATTTACCGTGGTTGTAAACAAAAATTATAAACTTTAATCTAACAATATATCTAAAATTTCCAATTTTATCAACATTTATCTATATATTTCCTTATTTTTTTCTTATTTTTATATTTTAGAAAATATTTGCATTACATATACACACAAAATTCTCTATTTAGTTGCATACCTTATTTTTTCTTTCTCTCTCTTTCCCTATCACTACTTTTCTCCCCCTTCTAAAATATGGCAAATCTTTAAATAGTTTCTTCTTTTGAAATATTGGGATAAATTAATCTGTTTTAAACCATGTTCGACCGTTTAACTTTCACGTACTATTAGATATCTGTGGTGATATTGATGAAAATCAAAGTGATAACGAGTTTGAAGCAGTACTTTTTGCCGTACTGAGCTACTCTCCGGTCCGGCTGTAATAGGGACGCTTTCAAATCCCAACCATTCCATGATGTTAGTCAAACACAAACACTTCTTAACTTTTTTTTCGGTCAAATACTTCTTAACTTAAATTATGTTTTTCAATTTTAATTTACATTTTAAACTTTATTTATCAGGAAATTTAGTAATTTACTACCCATCGCCTCATGAATTTTTTGATTCTCCCCTCGCGGTATGGTGGTGATCAGTGGCGGATCCAGATGACTCTCTCTACATTATCTTATGCTATGTGTTCCTTTTTCTTTAATATGTAATGATTAATCATACAGTAATAGACCAAATACAAATTCGTCTTAGCGTTTACACTTTACCATCTATTTTATTTCAACAAAAAGAAGAAGAACAATGTTCTCGACCTCACACCATGCTCTAATTTTATTATTTTTTACTCAAATATAACTTTTCATTAACCAAGAAAGGATTACCTGATTTGTACCACCAAAATATTTAACCACATTTATATACAAAGAAATTCAGTATCACCCAAAATTATTAACTGAATCCTATATTACCGAATGTAATTAAACCTAATGAGAATAAGCTCTCTCAGTTACTAGAAAGAGCCGTCTCTTCAACCCCCAACATTCTACCATTAAAGTGAAATAATAGCTATAAGACCAACACGAGCATAAACAATGAAGCACAATTAATAGTCGTTTTTAGTGATTGACTTAACTCACATCCAAAAGCTATCGCAAGAGTAGAGGATTGCCCATACACATATATATTGCCCAAAGACCAATATCACCACCGATGTGGATATGTTAATAGCCCCTCTTGAGATGTGGGTGGGAAACGGTCCATAAGAAAACATCCCAAGCCAACATCTCGAAAATAGCAAATGAAGCACAATTAATAGTCGCTATTACTGATGAACCTAACTCACACCCAAAAGCTATCTCAAGAGTGGAGGATTGCAACATCCCAAGCCAACATCTCGGAAATATCAGAGCATATGGACCACTTTTACAGGTTCATAAGTAAGAAACTGTTTATGTGAGAAATCATAATAATGGGCCAAACCGGGCTCTGATACCATATTAGTGATATGCCTAACTCACATTCAAAAGCTAATTCAAAAAAGAAGGATTGCCCATACATATATATATATATATATATATATATATATATATATATATATATATATATATATATATTGCCTAAAGACCAATATCATCACCAATGTGCGATATATTAATAGTCGCCAAAAGAAATGAGTGTAACCAGCACCATGCTCTATTTAGATCATCAAACATCAATTACTAAATTCAGTTCGACAACAACAAAAAAAAAAAATAGTGATGCTGTTCAGTCTTAAAAAGCTCCTCAGAAGTCAGATGACCTTCTTTCACATTGACAAGCCCATATTAACAAACATCATATGGGCTTTTAGTTCACAAATGGTATAGCTTATTTGGGCCAACATAGGCCCATAATAAAAAAAAATTCTCTATCTTCTTCCGCCGAGCGGAGAACAACTCCACCGTCATAGAAGGAAAAGACGATGAACACTTCCACCAGACTCCTCTCTCTCTTCTCTCCTCATCCTCCACCTCTCTTCCTCTTCCGTCGCTTATCCAATCTCCGTCGTCTCCACCGCCTAACGTCTTTTCCTCTTCCCCCCGTTTCCTCTCCTAATCGCCGTTCTTTCATCCTAACGCCGTTTATCCACACGACACGGTTCCACACTCACCGTCTCCGCTTCTCCGCCTCCTCCGATTCTGTTCCTTCTTATTATCACCAACGGATACCTGAATGGGGAGAGCTACTCCAATCTCTCTCCGAAGCTGGCTACATCACAGATTCTGCGATAAATTCGAATTTCGAAAACGAGTTCGTTCCTGGTTTTCCAGATGTATTCATCTCTCCAGCTATGGCTTGCTTAGGTTTAGCACGTGATCGACCTGAGTTACTTGAGTAAGTTTAGCTTTTAATAGAATGTAAAATCAAAATATCTCTTTCTCATTAACTTTAAAACGATGAATGTTGTTGTACAATGCTATTATATATATAAAGTGAGGTCAGTTGAGTATACTAGACACGTGTAATGATTACAATCGTCAGTTACATTCTGTTATGAGTCTGTTACATTGCATACTACTTGATAAGCTTCTTTACCATTGTGTGTGTGTGTCCTTTGATGATGTGTCTCTAATTGAAGTTTTTTTTTTTTTTTGTGTGTGTGGATGTTATTGTTGTTAGGATGGTTTCGAGGAGAGATGTTGAAGTGGTGGTTGAGAATGTGAAGCCGTTTGTTTTTAGGAAAGGTCAAGATTCACTCAAAAGGATGAGTGTTTACTTAAGAAGTGGTCGTCATGATAATGTAAGTTCTTTTTTTCGCAAAAAAGCTTACTTTTTTTAATTCGTATTACTTAGAGACTTTATCAGCTTTAGGTATAGTGCCCTGATCTTCTGTGTTTCGTTATTAGATAGTGGATGTGGATAAGGCGAGTATGGTGGATTTGATGAGGCTTCTTTTGAGTTGTGTTGTGGATTTTGCGTCTTCTGAGGGAAGGAAATATCATGAGCAAGAGATTGTGGAGGCGTCGGTTCGAAGGCTTGTGGGAGAGATAGTGAAGATGAGCTTCCGTACTTCTTCTGAGTCTAATGTTCATGGCGCAATGCAGAATCAGTTTTCAGGTAGAAATGGACAACCGCTTGGTTCTTTTCAGAAGAACGTTGAGATGAAACGAGGTGATTGGATTTGCTCAAGGTATGAATGAATTTCTTGGATTCTCAGTTGCCATTCTTCTATGAAAGCTTTAAGAATAACTTACCACAATATAGTTCTTCAGGATCTGAGCTGTAATTGGTATATGACTGACTGTACACTATTATTAGGGATCGAAAGATTGACTAGGAGTCAGTAAGTTGTAACTGTCTTTGTTTCATCTTGTTGTTGGTGTTCATATGGTGTGGGAACTTGTTGAAACAGGTGCAGTGGGATGAATTTTGCGAGAAATGTCAAATGTTTCCAGTGTGATGAAGCAAGACCAAAGAGACAGCTTACTGGTAGTGAATGGGAGTGTCCCCAGTAAGCAACTAATATTTGTTTTCACTGCTGCTTTATCCTCAATGCGACGGTGAATAGTGAGTTTAACAGTTTGTTTTTCACCCATCAGATGCGATTTCTACAACTATGGGAGGAACATAGCTTGCTTAAGATGTGACTGCAAACGACCCAGGGACTTCTCACTCAATTCAGCCAACTCTGCGAAGGATCCTGAACTTGAGAGAAGAATGGTTGAAAATGAAGAGAAAGCACAGAGGTGGTTTAGTAAAGTCGCACAAGGTGGTTCTGATGCAAACAGTGTTGACACAGATGAAGATTTTCCAGAGATTATGCCTCTGAGGAAAGGAGTGAACAGATTTGTTGTTAACACGAGAAAGACACCTCTTGAGAGAAGGTTGGCTAATGCTGAGACAGATGGAACTAAAACGAATAAGAGCCTGAATGAGATTCTTGGCTCTACATCCTCTTTGGCTTCTTCCAGGAGGTTTGAATCTTCTCAGGTAGTTAACTCTGATTTTGTCCCCTTCGTGCCACTACCGTCTGATATGTTTGCCAAGAAGCCTGACAAGGAGGAAACACTGACCACCAACAACCAAATAGACGGTGTCTCAGACAAGTCAAGTCCAAGTCCTTTTGGTCAAGAAACAGATGAACCTGAAAGAGATGAGAAAGAATCAGAGGAGAAACCTGCGAGGTGGTTAAAGAGGATCACAGAACTGCACAACGTCTCAGATCTCGAAAGCGAGATACAGGAGGAGACTTCTCCTGAGAAAATGCCAATGCGAAAAGGTGAGAATCAGTTTGTTGTCAGCAGGAAGAAAGACCGTTCTTTGACTCCTCCAGCAAACAAGAGACGCATCTCCATTGAAACAAAAGACTCAGACTTCGTCCCTTTTGTCCCTTTCCCACCTGACTATTTCGCCAAACACAAACAACCAGAGGAAACAACAACAACAGCAACAGATACTATTCCAGTCCCAGTACAAGAAAAACCAAGAGAACCTTCAAGCAACAATCAGGAACCAACGGCAGGGAAGTTGAGAAATGGAAAGAGCTTGGAGGGTTCATTAGTTAAGGAGCCTGACTATTTGGACATGTCAGAGGAAGCTAAAGCGGAGAGATGGTTTAAGCGAGTGGCTGAGATTAAGAACATATCAGAGCTGAGTCAGATCCCTGACGAAGATTTCCCGTCGATAATGCCAATGAGGAAAGGAGTGAATAGGTTTGTCGTCAGCAAAAGGAAGACTCCATTGGAACGACGTTTAGCTTCTCAACGTCAGCAGAGAAATCCTCCTCCGATCACAGACTCTGATACAACCCGTAATGGAGGAGATTCATGACCTTGTAGCATAATAACATTTTTACTGGAGTAATATACTCATTTTGTTTTTAGTTTACACTACTACATATTTATTTTTATTTTGGTCAACATTAAATTTTGATTAGTGTAAGGAATAAATAGTTAGTGTTGCAAACAAGGCAAGTATAACGTGATGGGTTTAAAAAGTTAGGTCTACCAGATCACATACCCTCGGTAACAAGAGAAAGAGACTACTCGGACAAGAAGTGAATCTGTTACCAAACACACTTCGTGTTCTTACTTTATATATATTCTTACTTGTCTATTCTCATTATTTTGATTATTTTATTCCTTTCACTTGCATTTGTGGTGGTTAAGAGAGCCATGGATACCGAGTTTCTCAGAACACTAGATCCTCAGCTTCTCTTGGGTGTCTTCATCGCTCTCGTCGCCGTCGGTGCCGGAGCTGCTTACTATCTTTCCTCCAGGAAACGCAGAGGTTCGATCATAAAGTCACAACCTTTCAATTATTCTTTTCTTGGGTTTCAGTCTCACAATGCGTAGCTGACTAAATGATTATCATTCTCTTACAAGACTGATTCAAAAGATTCACGAATTTTGTATGAAAGCAGGAAAAATTGTGTAGAATTCATCTGTTTAGAAGGTCACAGCAAATGAAAGATTGAGTCTTTTTGATGTGGGGGGTACATACTTGAATGATTGATTACAAGATTGTAAATTTGTAGGGTGTTTGGATCCAGAGAAGTTCAAGGAGTTTAAGCTTGTTAAGAAGCAACAACTTAGCCACAATGTGGCTAAGTTCGTTTTTGAGCTTCCAACTCCTACCTCCTTCTTGGGTCTTCCCATTGGTCAACACATCAGTTGCAGGTTTTAGTCTTTAATTATCCTATTCCTCATAAAATCTCTCTATTTTGTTCACGTTTTCATAACTTTCATTGCCAAATTTTAAAACTTTCTGCAAGTTGCTAGATACTAAGGACCTACGAACATACTGATTTTGTCAACTTTAGGGTGTTGAAATTCAATTTAGAGAGCTTTGATGAAATAAAATAAATTTATACATAGGGGAAAGGATGCTCAAGGAGAGGAAGTTATTAAGCCTTACACTCCAACAACGTTAGATTCTGACCTTGGACGTTTTGAACTTGTTATTAAGGTGTATATGCTTACTCTCTCAGCTTCACTCTTTTTAATATATTTTCACTAATTTTACTAAAAATTGCTGGAAAAATCCCGGTGCCAAAGTAGATGTATCCGCAAGGAAGGATGTCTCATCATTTCAGGGAGATGCGTGTTGGAGACCATCTTGCTGTTAAGGGACCTAAGGTACTTTTAATCTCACATTTTATGAAAATTGTAATTTTGTACTTCTTTTTGAATCTCAAATGTTTTTGTTGTTTTGTTACCTGGCAGGGAAGGTTCAAGTATCAGCCAGGTCAGTTTAGGGCATTTGGAATGCTTGCTGGAGGTTCAGGCATTACTCCCATGTTCCAAGTATGTTCCATACATTTTTGCGTCTAATATATCGTTTTTTAAGCTGCCAATGTGTAATCTTATTTAGCATTTGTGAAAGGTTGCTAGAGCGATTCTTGAAAACCCAAAAGACAAGACAAAGGTGCACCTCATTTATGCTAATGTCACATACGATGACATTCTCTTAAAGGTAAAATGTCTCTCACCTGCTAATTCTTATGAGTCTGAGAGCAAGCTTTACGTTTCCATAAACTATCTTCGAACTCTAAATATTATTTATGTGACTGTATACTTTTTTTTCCCTCAGGAAGAGTTGGAGAGTCTTACCGCCAATTACCCAGACCAATTCAAAATCTACTATGTTTTGAACCAGGTGAGCCACAAAATCCAAATGTTCTTGGCGTTCCTCTCAAGTAAATTCATTAAAAAAGAAAAAACAATCTCTTTCTGATACCTTTATTCTCTTGGTGTTTTGGTTTATCTTTATGTGTTAATGTGATTAGCCTCCGGAAGTATGGGATGGTGGTGTAGGGTTTGTAACCAAGGAAATGATTCAGGCTCATTGCCCTGCACCTGCATCCGATATTCAGGTAAACGTAAAACCTTCTTCTGTTCACTGTTTTTAGTCAAAATCTCGAATGTTTGAAACAAATACCAGCCGTGAATGAAAATATTTGACAAGAAGTAGTTTTAAGTGATGAAGATAAGATTTTTGGATGGTGTTTCAATCTTTTTTTATGTTTGGATTGTAGATCCTAAGATGTGGACCACCGCCCATGAACAAGGCCATGGCTGCAAACCTTGATGCTCTTGGTTACTCTCCAGAGATGCAGTTCCAGTTCTGATCTAAACCTCTGCTTTTTTTTTTTGTCTGCTCCGAACTATTTAAAACCCCATTTTTCTGATCAATAACTTTTGTTGTTTGAGTGAGAGTTGTGTGATGTTGTAAGCTTGATAAACCCCCTGGTCCATTTATTATGCTATTCAATTAGAAGTTCCGGTTAGGCATATGGTTTACTTATACCGGTTTTGGTTTGGTATCATCTCTAAAGACTTGATAGTGACATCCACATGACCTACCCTATTCTATTTGTGTTGGTATGTTGTTGCAATCAATTTGAGCGTCTGGCCTACTTATTACTATACCATCATGAGTCACTTTAGAAAGCATTATCTATAAAAAGGGAGATTGAGATTGGTTCTTTGTGGATTGATACAACATATCTACAGACTTGCAAAATACACATTTTGGTTAGTCGGCTTATTCTTTTCAAAAACTTTCTTTTTTAGAATTATATAATGTATTTGGTTAGTATTTTATGAAGTTGGCAGTGTTGATAAAGAAACTCAGATACTCATATATAAACATTAAACTTTCTAGTTTATTTCCCGCCGTACAGATTAAATAAGTTATTCGACTAATAACGACGTAAAAGTTGCTTTTATATTGGGTTTCATAATGCTTTACTATTGGTGATTTAAAAAAAAAGATGTTTTAATATGGAGAGAGCTTGCGTGGTTCCAATAACTTTTAAGCATTGTTTTATTCAAAAGTAGGCAATGGTCCAAAAAAGAACGATGAATCCATGACTCATAGTACACTTACTTTTCTTGGTTACGAACCAAATGATACAATGATCTTTCTTACATGTACCTCTTCCTCGAAAATGTTCTCTACTATTGCAATTACAACACGCAACAACAGTCCAACCACATGCCACATGCCCCCACATTGTGACAATATATCGAATCTTTTTTTTTTGCTTTTTGGTCTTTTATAGTCGATCATCAAATATCATGCTAAAGTTAAAAAGGTTTGAATTTCGACCATAAATAGTCTACTGTAAAATTCAAACTTGTACGCACCTACTAAAGTCTCCAATGTTGTTTACCTAAACCAAAAGATCAGCGTTATAGGCTTTGTTCTTGTAGAAATGACTCAAAAGACAAAAAAAAAAAGCAAACAAAATTAGGTATTAAGTGGTCTTTACTACGAGTCATCTTCCACCTCAACAGACTAAGCAAAGTCCACTATTGTATAGCTTCATAAATTAATCTCCGTAAAGTTGGTTCACTATAAGTTCTTATAGAGAATATTTCTACAACATTTTGTAGATGTAAAGTAGAAACTTTTAGTATGTTGTCATGATGTTATGGATTAGATTAATTTCGTTGTTGACGGTATACATAGTTTTTGAAATATTCAAAGAAAAGTTATATGATATCAGTAATCAGTTAATGCTGAAACAGAATAGATTTAAATAAACTAATTAAGTTTTCTTCTCTATTCTCTGCTTTCTTCCCAAAACATGACCAAAACGTATAGTTAGTAATCTTTAATTACATTCTAACTGATTATTCTTAAGCAAAGAAAACACTAATTAAGTTCAAGGTCTTGAATCTTTATATGAATAAAAATTAAAGGTTTTGAGATTTCAAATCTAGACCAACAGAACAAAACTACAAAAAAAATTTCCGCATTACATTACTTCATTAGTCAAGCTAGAAAATATTTAAATAAAATAATACTGTGGATGGATATAAGTTAAAAATGGAAATATATACACTTGCTCTTGTGGAAAGAGACGTCAAAATTTTTCCCTTAAGCTTCTCCTCTTCTTTATATATCTCTTTCACATCTCATTTTCACTCTCTCTCTCTCAATCTTCAAGAAAACAAAAAACAAAAAGAGTAAAACACATAGAGATACAATGTTTTTCTCCAAGGATCTTCCCTCACCTACATCGTTCTTCACAGCTTACGCATCAATGGCTGGTTACATGATGATGATACGTTCAATGGCTCACCAGCTCATCCCAGGCCCTGTCCAAGATTTCATCTACTCTTCTCTACACTCTCTCCTCTTCCGCTCTACTTCAACAACTTTGACTCTAACCATCGACGACGACAACATGGGCATGCACAACGACATCTACCAAGCCGCTCAGACTTATCTCTCAACCAAGATCACTCCAGACACAGCCAGGCTAAGAATCAGCAAAGGACACAGAGACAAACATGTCAACTTGTATCTCAGCCACGGAGAAACCGTCAACGATGTGTACCAAGACGTGGAGATAAAATGGAGGTTTATTACAGATGGTGGAGACAAGAAAGGAGATGAAGACGGTAGAAGCGACTACTTCGAGCTGAGTTTCGACAAGAAACACAAAGACATGATCCTAAACTCTTACATTCCTCACATAGAGACCAAAGCTAAAGAGATCAGAGACGAGAGGAGAGTCTTGATGCTGCATTCTCTCAACAATCTCTGGTGGAGTTCAGTTATCCTCGACCATCCTTCAACCTTTCAGACAATAGCTATGGATGATGAGGTCAAGCGTGACGTCATCGACGATCTTGATAGGTTCATTAGAAGGAAAGATTATTACAAGAAGGTAGGGAAAGCTTGGAAGAGGGGTTACTTGTTGTACGGACCACCGGGAACAGGGAAGTCTAGTTTGGTTGCAGCAATGGCTAATTACCTCAAGTTTGATGTCTATGATCTTCAGCTCTCGAGTGTGATGCGTGACTCTGATCTAAGGAGGCTCTTACTTGCTACACGTAACCGATCGATTCTTGTGGTAGAAGATATTGATTGTGCAGTTCCCAACAGGTTGGAGCAGCAACAGCTTGGTGAAGGCAAGAACTGTGACGACTCTCAGGTTTGGTTTTGTCTCTATGGATGTGTTAGATGTCTACTATTATTGGATTGGTAAAAAGATTATACATTTTTTTAACCAAAGTACCAAATTGAACCGAAACTAAACCAATTCTAACCAAACTAAATTTATTAACCAACTCTACCAGTATCTGATTATTGGTTTATGTATTTTAATTAATTCGAAAATTCATATAGGATATATAAATCTAAGGAAATTTTACTAATTTTCGAATCTAACATACTGCATTAAGTTGACAAAAAAAAAACATACTTCATTAAATACATATCCAGAAAATTTCTCTCCAGTCTGAGTTTTTTTTGTATTTTAAACAAATAAATCCTTCTAAATCTTTTCAAATCTATTGTGAAAAGTAAATTTGTATGACTGAGTTACACATGAATTATCCAATAACACATGATTGTAACATGGATTTGAACTGAATTTCGCTTAGATTTTCAAATTCATTTAAATTCCAAAAAATAACAACATCTACTTAGTATTTTTAAATGGCATTTTTTGTGTTTAGGCACCTTTGACGTTATCAGGGCTACTGAATTTCATAGACGGGTTATGGTCAAGCTGTGGAGACGAGCGGATTATAATATTCACGACTAACCATAAAGACAGGCTTGACCCAGCATTGCTACGTCCAGGTCGTATGGACATGCACATTTACATGGGACATTGCTCTTTCCAAGGATTCAAGACCTTAGCCTCTAACTACTTGGGCTTGAACGACACAACAATGCCACACCGTCTATTCCCGGAGATAGAGAGATTGATCGACGGTGGAGTGATCACACCGGCACAAGTTGCAGAGGAGCTGATGAAAAGCGAGGATGCTGACATGGCGCTTGAGGGTTTGGTGAATGTTTTAGAGAAGATGAGATCTGATGAATCGAGTCCGGTTATGAAGAAGAAGGAGAGTAGATTGGAGATGGAGGAGATGAGAGTAAGGCGTGATACTGAGGGTTCTCCTAGGAAGAGCAGCAAAAGCATCAAGAAACTTGTTCTGTTTTGGACCTAAGACGTGTGCCAGAGATTTTAATGGTCCAGTATTAGTTCAAATAAGATAATGAGAGAAAATACAGACCCAAAGGCTTACTATGGTTTTAGTAGAAAATTAAGTAAATCTTTTTGTCTATCAAATGTGCATGGACAAAATTCAATTATGCAGAAAGATAGTTGATCAAATAAAAAAAATGAAGAAGTGAATGCCCGTACAGTAAAACCTCTATAAATTACTAATGTTGAGACTTGGAAATTTTATTAATTTATAGAGATATTAATTTATCAAAGAAAAGTATTTGATTTTTCATTTTTATTTATAAAGTCAAAAAATATTTGATTTTCGCAGAGATACATTGTTTAAATATTAGAAATTTGACTTTTATATATTTTTATTATCTTATTTGGTGTATATTCTTATGTTTCATAGAATTATTATGTGGTTTTCGATATAATTTAACTAAATATTAACAAAATATATTAGTATTTTTTTTGTAAATATAAAACCAACAATATATTGTTAGATTGTAATTATATAAAACTATATATAGATAGATTATTAATTTATGATTTTAATGGGACTATATATTTACATGGCATTTTTTCAAATATTATTATATTATTATTTTATCGATTTGTGTCATATTTTACACTTGTTCAAGTTGGGACCAGAGAAATTTATTATTTTATAGAGATTATTAATTGATCGAGTATTAATTTATAGAGGTTTTACTGTATATTTTGACAAAAATGGTTTAGTAGAAAATATAATATTTAATTTCGTTTACGGTTGTACAGTATTTACGGTAAATGTAAATTCACACTATTATGAAAAGATATAATTTTACGGTTATGAGAAGAAAATTCAAATTTACAGTTTTAATAAAAAAATAGTTTATAAATTTTAATAGAAAATTCAAATTTACAGTTTTAATAAAAAAATAGTTTTAATAAAAAAATAGTTTATAAATTTACGGTTATGGCTTTTTCGTAAAGCGCACATTTATGATTTTTATGAAAAAACATAATTTTACAATTTTGGTAATGAAAATGTAATGGATAAACATAAATTTAAGGCTTTTGACAAAGAAACACAAATGTACGGTTTTGATGGAAAAACGTAATTTCACGATTTTAGTGATATTTTTAATGTTTTTGAGAAAAATAAATTTACGATTTTGGTAGAAAACTAAATATTTATAATTTTGGTGAAAATGTAATTTTTTGGTTTTAGTGAGTAAACGTAATTTTATTGTTTGAAGAAAAAATTATGGTTTAAACAGGCAAATGTAATTCCTCGATTTTAGTGAGAAATAATTTACGATTTTGGCGGGAATAGCAAATTTATAGTTTTACTGAAAAATGTAAATTTATGGTTTTGATGAAGACAAATTTGATTTAGAGTTTTGGCGGATAAATGTAATTTTATGGTTTTGGAGAAAAAATACAAAATTACAATTTTGGCGAGAATATATAGTTATGTGTTTTTGGTGATAAATCTTAAACAAAAAAATAATTGTTTCGTTATATCATTTCTACAGAAATTAGAGAAAATAGAACAAAATCTCGTACAATCGTTTTATTATCTGTATTAAGCTTGCAAAGTATAAGGATGCAGAGAATATGTTGATATCAGTGGGTGTATATTGATTAGATTCAGAACAAATAAGGTATCAATACTAATGTTCAAGATAACAATGTTCAAGATAGTATGAATGGTGACTCAACGCTTAGAATTTAAAATGCTTAGTTGTAGACCGTGTGGCCTACGCGTTTACAAATTATAGTATTATGCAAAATATATACAATATATTCGGTTAGATATTTACTATAATAAGTTAATTATAATTTGAATTTATGAATAATAAAATTATATTTTTACTGAATATTAATAATAAATTATATCTCATTTATTAATATGATATTATAATTGTTAGAAGGTCTAAAAGATAATCGTTATAATTTTAAAGAAGTTAACGTTTTACGTACTGTTTAAGGGGTTTTGTATATATTTTTGTAGAGCACTGGTCAACACAAATCATTGTCTTTACGCAACTATGTGTGCAACGTCTGCACCCATAATTTGGTAGTACACCAATTTAGTCAACTAAACGTTATGAAAATTAATTTTTATGACTCTAATTGTACAGACGTGACTTTTACAATGTACCTTTTGGTAATGTATATATTATGAGACATTTTTTGAACCTGTATATATAATGAGACATGGAAAAAACTCGAGCCATATTCATCATTAACCCAGATAGAGGTATGTATCCGGTTTACATTTCTGCATAAAATTATAACCGTTCATTGTTCAAAGCGTAATTTTTATATTTTCTTTAATTTTACATTTTCCATCATTAACAGATTTTCTTTTCATTTCTATTCAAATGTAATTTTATATTTTCTGGTCTGTGTTTCCATTTTAATTTTGTCCTGGCTGGTCTGGTCAAACTTTCTATATTACTAAGAAAAAACAAATCTATTTTAATTTAATGAAAGAAAAATATACATTGTATTTCTTGATAAAACATATTTTGTCTATTTTCTTAATGATTTTTTTCAAAGATTTTCTTCCATATCAGGTCATTTCTACAGATTTATGTATATATTTTATTAAAATGTGCTGTATTTTTTTCTAATTTTGATATCTAAAAAAAGATAGTGACAACTGGTCTTCTCTTCTCTCTAGTCATCAGGGTCAAGGTCAAGTCTTCTTCCAAAAACCTGTCCAAAATAAGCCTAAGCATTAAGGAAAGTTTTAATTCCCTCTTTGTCCTTCCTACATATTCATTGAACTAGCACAAGGATAAATAGAGGAGACAGAACTCAATCAAACAGATAAGCCTTTGAACTCGAATACTCAAAAAACATGAAAGGGGCACGTGTTGAGAAGAAAACCCATTTGGTGAATGCTGCTGGTGAGGCTGATACGGCGGTGGAAACTGCGCCAAAGCTGCCTCAAGAGTTTTACGAAGTCGAAGCTATTCGTAGTAAGCGATTTCACAAAGTAAGCCCTCTTCTTTTTTTTTCATCAAATGTGTTTTTTTTTTCTTTCATGTTACGTAAAGTCTTGTCCTTTTTTATTTGTGCACCGTAAAGTCTTGTCCTTTATACATCGTTCGTTGCTCACTAATCTCAAAGTAGTTTCATTTATGGAATCATGATATAATTTCAATGGTGATTGATATAATGTTTTAATATCTTATTATCTCTCGTCTTGGTTGATTGTGACTGTTGGTTACTGGTTCTGCCGGTCTAATAATATTTTAATGGTTTTTGATTGATTGTAGGGAAAGGTCCAGTATCTGATTAAATGGTGAGTTCTTCTAATCATACTCTGTTTTCATTCTTGATCAGGCAATTTTTTCTTTCTTTTATATAAATTGTAAAACTCTGTTTGTGTAAGGCGTAACTGGCCAGAAACTACTAACACATGGGAGCCTTTAAAGAATCTAGAGACCATTCCTGCTGCCATAAAGGCATACGAAAAAAGGTATGTTGCTTCTTGCATCTAATATAAATATTTTTTAATTTTTTTTTGTGGATTTCTTTTATTAATTTGTGTGTTTTCTTGCTTTCAAAGTTTGAGGAAGGCTAGTAAGAAGCGCAAGGGAAACTCTGGAGGTTCTTCTTCTCAGTGTAAGAAGAAGAAGGAGCAGCAGCGTGTAACATCTACACCAGTTGTTGCACCTAACAGTGGGAGTGTTGGGGAGGAGCAAGAGTATGATCCGACACTCAACGAGCTAAGGGGACCACCAGTTGTTAACAGTAACGGTGCAGGTGGAGGCATTGGTTCTAAGGGTGATGATGGCCTTCTCAAGGTTAAGAAGGTTGATAAGAAGTATCTCCGAGGTGCTAAGCGTAGGAAGTCTGGTATGGTGAGAAGATACATACCAAATGAAACCACAAGTAACAACAACGAGAACCAGACACCAGCTACCGAGCAGAACCAGACACCAGCTACAGAGCAGAACCAGACACAAGCTACCGAGCAGAACCCTTTTGACTTTCCAGCACCGGGCAGTTGTGACCTGCCTAAGAAGGAGGAGGAAGTAGCCATCGTGAGGGTCATCAGGCCAGTGGGGGTTTCTACTTATAAGACAAACAATGCAGTAGACGCGTTGGTAACTTTCTCGGCGCTGAGGTTTGTTTCTATGCACTTTGGTCAGTTTTCACATTTGAGTTCACATTGTTTTGTACTTATTTTTTGGCTATATACTACTCATATAGGTCTGATGGGGTGGAAGTAACGGTTGACAACCAGTTTCTCAGGGTCTACAATCCTCAACTGGTAAGATTGTTTTTTTCTTTTGTGTTTTACTATCTAGAAGATTGTAATTGATTTGTGTTTTTTTTTTTTTTTTAATAACGCAGCTGCTTGATTTCTATGAGCAAAACATCAAGTACAAGACCGAAGGCGAAGAAAATGTGGTGTAAACAGTGGTGCTTGTAGGTAGAAATAAGATTAGATGTGCAGAGTGGATGTAGTGGCAAGTTGTTATGAGTTCACTTTCTGTTACAGAAAATCTTGTCTCTTGGACTTTTTACATTTCTTTTAAGCGAATAGTTTGTTTATGTTTCGTTGATGTTACTCAAAGTTGAACCTGTTGGGATTTGGTTCCCCCTTATACAAGAATTCAGTTTCATTTTCATATATTTATTCTTTTCAGAACCTCTGCTTCATCTAATGCTTGTGAAAAGCCCAAATCAGAATTGCGAGTATTCTCATAAGTCATTAGAGAAACATGGTGAGGATGAGTAGTAAAGGTCTTATAACATGTCTTTAAACATTATGACGTGGTGGTATGTGTGTGTGTCGAATGAAAATGTAAAGTAGACTTTGTATTCTCAGGGAAAATCACATCTCTTTCAGGAAAATAAGAGTGTTCTTTTTAGGCTGCGTCTAGCTTCATGTTACAGTCAGTGAGAATCTGTGCTTCTTGAACCAGTTTGTAACAGTTCTTTGCTGCAAGCTTGCAAAGGCAAGTCTGCTCCACCTGGTGTCATTTGATGCTCTCGGCGGCAAGGTCGGCCCTGAGATTTAAGAGAATCCATAGATTATTTATTAAAAAATTTAACTGATTTTTTTTGTATATTTTGAGAATTAAAAATAAAAATGAAGTTTTGATATATATCTACGTGATTTTCTTTAAAAAAAAATTTAGAAGTCTAAAACCAATGTTTCATCTGGTTAGATCAGGATAGACCCTATGAACGTGTGTATAAATCAAACCTTGTTACCACTCAAATCTAATTCTAATGGACATCCATAAGGTGCTAATACTAGTGTGGACATAGAGAATGACAATCTTATGATCTATAAAAGCTATTCCCAATTGCTAAGTGTGGAGGATAAGTAAGATCAATGCTTTTAATATGAGACATGAAACTGAACCGGATAATTATTTATATCATGGTTTATAGTTCCAATCATTTCACAATTTATATATTACTTAAAGGTAGTATTATACATCTAATTCGTATATTTTTATGGTTTTAATAGTTTTATCCGGTACAATAAAACTAATCCAATCCATCGAAAACATTGTAGAAGATAGAGCTTGGTATCTGAACCGTCCACATGTAACAAGGCAGCTTTGACGGAATGGATAGAAGAATCCTGTGACAAATGATATTCTATGTGTGTTAAATTTGACTAGAAAGAGTCTACAATCAGGTCCTATCTTAATATTTTTCAATATCTTGAAAGAAAGCTTATCCGACTTCTCTTTCTTCATGTGTAAGGTTTTAAACATTTTTAATTGGTTGAAAAAATCTCAAAAACGATGATAAAAAGGCACACGATGGTTACACGTAATTAACATATATTATCTTTGAAGACTTACATGGAAAATAGAGATAACAACAAATATATCAAAAGGAACCGCGTGGCGTGGAAAGTACGGCTCGATCTTCCTCTGTTTCAATAAAAGGCGGAACTATTTATGCAGACGATCATCGTGATCTCTAGATTATTAGATATCGCACTCTGAAAATTTCAAAAATCAAAATCAAATCTCTTCCTTCGTCTCAGGTCAATCGTCAAGAATCAGAAAACCCTTAAGCTTCTTGGTACGCACATCTTCAGTCTTTAGAAATCTTGTTTCTTTTTTTTTTTCTGGCTTTACGTGTTAGATGAGAATCTTTATACTGGTTTACATTCAAATACACTTTCTTATGCCCATGTATATATGTTTCTTCGAATCCGAAACAATCAAATCTCGTAACAGATCTTGAAGTAGATTGCTTATGGTGTTTTGAAACCCTAGAAGAAATCAGTGTTTCAAAAGAATCTTGAATCCTCTTGTTGGCGCGAGATAAATTTGTATGTGAGCTATGAGAACGAATCTTGATTATGCATGCATGTTTCTATCAGTTTGTCTCTTATGAAGCTAAGTGTTTTTTTTACTGACATTTGCTTTGAAATTTGGACTAGAGCACCAACGTCTTATTGCAACAAATAAAAACTAGGTTAACTTGTTTTCTTCTTTTTTTTCCACAACAAATCTGATCGTCATGCAATAATATATCCATGTTTCATTCACAATGTAATGATTAGGTGTTTTCTTCTTTACAGTGTTTGACTACTCTTGAGATCAAAGTTTGAAAGAAAAAAATGGGAGATGATCAGAATAATCACAATGACAAAGGAATCTTTCACCACTTAGCTGGATTTGCAGCTGGACAATACCGACCTCACGGCCATCATGGTTATGGTCATCACGGAGCTCCTTATCCATACCCTCCCCCTCCTCCTCCTCATGGCTATCCTCCAGCTGCTTATCCTCCTCACGGTGGTTACCCTCCAGCCGGTTACCCTCCTGCTGGTTACCCTCCTGCTGGTTATCCACCTCACGGTTATCCCGGTCCATCTCACTCTGGTAATTTCAATCTCAACATTAATGTTTTGTGTATTCTGTTTTTTTTATAAAATGATTCCACAATTAAGGGCCATAATCTTTAGCATTGTTAAATGCAATAAATGGCCTTTGAAAACTATTGAGACATTGAGGCATGATGATTATGAGGACATCCGACTTATTGTTACAGGACAACACCACGGAGGTATAGGAGGGATGTTAGCGGGTGGAGCGGCTATGGCAGCTGCGGCAGCTGGTGCTCACCATATGTCTCACCACGGACACTATGGCCACCACCACGGTCACGGCTATGGCTACGGGTATCACGGTCACGGTAAGTTCAAACACGGCAAGTTCAAGCACGGTAAACATGGCATGTTTGGGAAGCACAAGGGGAAATTCTTCAAGAAATGGAAGTGATTTTTTTCCAAAAAGATTCATCTTATTCATGATACATTATATCATCATTATGTAATAACAACATATATTGACTTCTCCGAGGAATTTACATGGTTATTGTGAGCCTTAACTTCCAAGAGCTTAAACCGTAGTTGTAACATCCCGATCCCCCGGCGTCCGACCGGGGTTCAGCAACCGGGTGTTACGGACACGTGTCTACTCAACTAGACAACCCTACGTGTCCTTACTGGTCCCAGGAGTCGGCGGACGCATCTTTAATGAAATTCGATCCACCCATATCCACATACTTCTACATACAGTCCTGCGCATAGGGAAAACGGAAATGGAGGGNCAACCGGGTGTTACGGACACGTGTCTACTCAACTAGACAACCCTACGTGTCCTTACTGGTCCCAGGAGTCGGCGGACGCATCTTTAATGAAATTCGATCCACCCATATCCACATACTTCTACATACAGTCCTGCGCATAGGGAAAACGGAAATGGAGGGATGAGCAATTGGGGTTACTCAGTGAAGTGACTCTAGCCAGTCTGCCCGCATAATTCTCTACACTACCTCATACGGAAACAGGACCGACCAGCCACTACATTCAATATGCAACATACAAACCATACTATGGCATCTCAACATGGAATTCTAACACCCTAGCATTCATACACCGCAAGAACTCAGTCATTGCTTCACATGGATTCAATCACGCAACAATTTATAAACTAGACTCATCAATCAACCTAGACTTAAGGACCTATGGCCGTTTACGGATGTCCCTACACGTTCCGGCCTAACCTGGAAGGGGCGCCCTCTCTCGGGAAATCCGTCCCCCCTACAGCTTCCTAAATGACTATCCGAGTTGCAGCTCGTTGGCTCCCAGCACTGTCTGCCACCCCGGTCTTAATAGCCATATTTGACTCGATCTTAAGGCGCCTATTTCTTATCCCGCAGGTCCCTCCCAGAGGTCTCTTCTGCGTACGCCGTCCTTGCACGGCCATTCACTTCTCGCCCACGGGTACCTCGTGTTAGGCTACTGTCCCGTGGGCCCCCTGCGGGTACCTCGTGTTAGGCTACTGTCCCGCAGGTTACACATCCTAGACTCTAGACGCCCACCCGTTCTCGGTGGTCCAAACAGGACTTCAAACAAGTTCATTGACACGACTTCATCCTCATACATGTTCTTATCCACTTTCTCATTCTCTTACACGTTCTCATTCTCATTCACATTCTCATTCACTTTCTCATACTCATACTTATACTCATACTCATACTTATACTCATACTCATACTCATACTCATACTCATATCTGTACTTGTACTCATACTCATACTCATATTCATACTCATACTCATACTCATACTCATATCTGTACTTGTACTCATACTCATACTCATATTCATACTCATACTCGTATCCGTACTTGTACTCATACTCATACTCGTACTCATACTCATATCCGTACTTGTGCTCATACTCATACTCGTATTCATACTCGTACTCATACTTCTTATCATTCTCATCCTCATACTTAACTCACTTTAAGTCATTCTTATTTACATTCTTATACTCAACTCTAGACGCCACCCGTTATCGGTGTCCCACAGAATTCACGTAGCATTCATATTCTTATACATCAAGACCAAGAGATATCACTTCATATTCATCTATCTTTAACTTTAGAAACTATAGGCAGATCATTTTACATTCATCATTAATAACAACGGTTACCAACTAACAAATCTATCAACTTAAGCATTCACTTCCTTCTAACAACCTAGCTTTCATTCATCATCATAGAATGGGACACAAATCAATCACACAATCATTCATACCAATCATTATCCACATCAACACAAGGCAGTTCATTAAGCCCCATTTAAACAGTGTGAAGGTTTTTTATGCATCATGATTCATTCATCTAACAACCTAACTCCCATTATGATCTATCAACATAACTTTCAAACAAGGACTATCCAAACCCTAATTCCCGCATCAGTCAGAATAGAGATTAAGAAGACAGATCTGGTTTTCGAATCACCTCACCTTAGCAAGAGATCTGAGATCAGGGAACAAGAGGGGAAGAGATGAGATCTGAGAATCTCCACACACACACACACCACCACCACCGTCTCACGGCGAGGAGGGAGAGAGAGGAAGGCGGCGAGGAGAGAGAGAGAAGAGAGAGACGCGCGGAGAGAGAGAGAAGAGAGGGCGGCGGCGAGAGAGAGAGAGGCTGACGGCTAGGGCTTCCGGTCTCCGGGAATTCTTTGCAGAGCTTCGCTTCCAGTTTGCAAAATAAGAGAAAAGGAGGAGGCTGCAACCTTTTTATAGTGAGTTGCAGGAAACCCTAGGGTTTATGGGCAATTGGGCCGTAAAGAGACCCATTAGTCTCTTAAAAAAAAAAATTGGGCCGGTACTGGGTTGTTACANAGGCTGACGGCTAGGGCTTCCGGTCTCCGGGAATTCTTTGCAGAGCTTCGCTTCCAGTTTGCAAAATAAGAGAAAAGGAGGAGGCTGCAACCTTTTTATAGTGAGTTGCAGGAAACCCTAGGGTTTATGGGCAATTGGGCCGTAAAGAGACCCATTAGTCTCTTAAAAAAAAAAATTGGGCCGGTACTGGGTTGTTACAGTAGTGATCTTTCATGGTTTGGTTTGGTTTGGTTTAATGAAGCTTTTCTTTTGTTTACATTGGCATGTATAAATTTAACTCCCTTTTGGTAGTCGGAAACTGAGATCCACTTGTTTGAAAACGATCGATTCTTTTATATTGATGGAGAATCTTCAATAAACCTCACCTTTTTCTTCATCATTGCTTTTCTTTTGTAGTTAATAAATATGATTAAGATTGGTTATGTTAATACTGTACTTATCTATTGTGTAATCATAGCCAATCCTAAGATTTACGAGGCTTGAAAAGTGTGACATGTGTCCAACTTTACAAGTAACGATGGATTCTAATTTGTTTCCAAACTATTTTTGGTCTCATATGAAATAAATGCTGTAAGTACATATGTGCATACTATGTACTGATATCTGATGTTTTTGGGAGAGTGTTACTTAAAGAGTAAGACCGTGATATCTAAACTATTTAAATGGAATACGAATCATTGTAATTTCTAAACTAGCTAATCAATACCGGCCCCAAAAGAACGTGTCAGTAGTATGTTAAAGCAGCGGTGAGAAACAATGTTTTCACGCTTTGTTGCCATATAGTTACGCATTGGCAGCATTGTGGTGGACGAATCTTATGGATGACGCAAATGTCGACGTTCGACAGACGCAGCATAAAAAGACAAAGCCTAATGCCGTCTTAACTCAATGCACCTCCTTTGATGCGAGGAACAACGTAACATATCATATTCTTCAAACTCTCCATTGCATAATTCAAATTGTACTAAGCATTTGCTTCATTTTCTACTATTAATATTAAGGAAAACAAGAGAAATTTATAAAGAGCAGAGAATAATCAGTACTGTAGGTAAATTGTTTTGCAAATCGAATGGTGACAGACAGTAACTTTGGACTGAAGCTGAAGCATCAGAATCTCTTTTTCATTACCTTCTTTATATCAGTAATAGATTGTGCTTCTTGGAGTTAGTTGCCATGTGATTAATAGTACAAGATTTCTTCCTAAGGAACCAATATTGAATCTCAATCTCAAGAACACAAAACTAAGAATTCAATAAATAAACTCTTATTTATCTCTCAAAAAAAAATCACTCAAAACCTTAAAATCACTCAAAACTTTATAAAATTTATAAGTTATGTCACACACTGACACCTCCTTATGTAAAAATAGATATCTCATCATTTTTATAAACTTAACATATTTCTATATTTTCTATTTTTTTTTTGTAAACCATAATTCGTAGGATTAGAACTTTTACTTGCATCTGAAAGTTTCTTTATTCTTCTAGTTTAATCCAGCAATAAATTCTTATTGACCTTACTCCAGAACAAAAAAATAAATTTAAAATTCACTAATTTATGTGCAAAAATCGAAATTCCTGATGACTGACACCATCATTGATCAAGATATTAATAATTCATATTTCACAAAATTTGGATTCCATTCTCTGTCGTATGCAAATTATTGGAGGTTACAAAATCGAATATCTGATGTGCCACCTCACATATATTAACAATTTATTTGCAGTTCCAACACATGTTCAAGCGTCAAGAAGGTAGTCCTTTTTTTCACCAACAATTTACCAACTAAATGAAAGGTACTTAACCTCTATATGTAACTTTCCCATTACCAAACCATGATAAAACTGAAGTATCAAAGCCTATATTCTTATCTATACATTATTCTCAAACACCTTTGACAACGCGTAAAGATATCTACACACACAATGTATTATCTACTCATCTTTCTATTATATTTATTTATACACACTTCATAAAGTAAATTCGTCCATTTCTATACACAATGCTCACAGTGTTCATTCACTAATCTAGAATACTTAAAAACAAAAGAAAACGAACATAAAAATAAAGCTAAAGCATAAAACATCACAATACTGGATCTTCTAGTTCCATATATTTATATTTATACATTTTCTCTCTGTCGGCTATTATCTCAACATTCATACAAATAATGCTATTGCCCAAAAAAGATCATTGTGTTTGTATATAATAAAAAGAGACCAACAAGGTTACCGCCAAATCATTTCCTTCACGTAAAGCGAGACCATCTAACTACCTCTTTGAAAAAAAAAACATACATTCTGTGGAAAAAAACCTTATTTAAATTTTAATAATAATAAAAATAACACATATCATTTTTTTTTTGAATAAATAATTATTATTTTGTTAATAGATATATTAGTTAAACAACACAGGAAAAAGACACTCTTTACCAAAGAGAGAACCAAAAGATAAGGAAGAAGAGAGAGAGAGGAGAAAGACATCTCACCTCACACCACCTCCTCTCTCTCTACTTCTTCTTCATCATCTCTCTCTCTCTGTGTTCTGTAATAGAAACACACAAAACCAAATGGGTTCAATGTCAAACCCTAACCCATGGTCTCCTTACGACTCTTACAACGACTGCTCACAAGGAGTCTGCAACATCTACTGCCCACAATGGTGTTACCTAATCTTCCCACCTCCTCCTCCTTCCTTCCTCGACGATGATGACTCCTCTCCTTCCACCTTCTCCCCTCTCCTCATCGCCTTAATCGGAATCCTCGCCACCGCCTTCATCCTCGTCACCTACTACACTCTCATCTCCAAATACCGCCGCCGCCACTCCAACTCCTCCTCCTTCGATGTGGAATTCACAAACTCCAATGCGGCGGCTGGAGATGGACTCAACGACGCGTTGATTAAATCAATTAAGGTTTACAAGTACAAAAAGGGAGATGGACACGTGGACGGTTCTGATTGCTCGGTTTGTTTGAGTGAGTTCGAAGAGGACGAGAGCTTGAGGTTGTTACCGAAATGTAACCACGCGTTTCACCTCCCTTGTATCGACACGTGGTTGAGATCTCACTCTAACTGCCCTCTCTGCCGCGCTTACGTCACTGGCATCAATAATAATAATAATAATCAAATAACCGTCGTTAACGACCAATCTAACGCCGTTCATCCAATCGCGACGGAATCTGTTAACTCAACCGTCGCTGGCTACAATCACCAAACGGAAGATTCCGTTATCGTCGTTGAAGATCTGGAGATCGGATTGCGATCGCAACCGCCGGAGGAGGAAGGAGACGCGACGGCGAAGGATGAGGAAGATCCTCCACCGCCGCCGCGGATTCGGAGATCGGTGTCGTTGATCGGCGATGTACTGCGGGAGATTGAAGACGAGGAGGGAGAGGAAGTATCTGCTGGAGTCGGGACTTCACAGCAGCGGCGGAGAGAGGGAGATGGAGATGGAGATGGAGAAGGGAAAACGCCGCCGTTGACGGCGGCGAAGAGTTCAGTGGCGATGAAGAGATCGGTGTCGACGGGAAGATTTAACTTCTCGAGGTACGATCGAACTAGAAATTACAGTTTACCCAATTAATTCATTATTGAGCTTTTTTTTTTTACTGTATTTAGCAATTTACTGATAATCAATCATACACTTCAGTTACAAGATCTCTTTAGTGATTATTTTACTTTTTTTTAAATGCTGGAAAGTTAAAGTGATTGGTACTTTAAGTACTTCTGTTCCCTCCTAAATTTATGGAACGTACAATACAAGTTATAAAGCAATGTGATTTATTTATTTTCCAGGAAAAAACGTCGGTGAGACTTGATAGAGGGATAATTTTTAATACGAAAAAGTATTTAATATTATCAGTGTACAGTATATGTGTTTAATAATACGTATTTCTAAAAATAAATAGAAAATTTCAAAAACGATAATCTATTAGAGAATAATGTTTATAAAAAACGTTGTGTAATTTTGTTTGCGTTGCATGTTTACTAGGAAAAGAGGTTGTATTAGGGTATATTAAGCTCACAATTTCAAAACACAAATAACACCGTTCAATTTTCGTTTAAAAGACCTAAAGGGAGTAAATGTGAACATGTTGACCTTCACTGCATATAATCCAAAAGAACATTGTTGACAGAAGAAAAGTTGGAGAACAGAGAAGAATCTTTTTTTACATGCAAAAATAAAATAAACCTCCTTGTGAATACTGATCATCGAGTTTCGAGTGGAGCAGCCACTGAAGAGCATTGTGTTCGGGAATGGGTGGACCCAACAAAAAATCAATTAACCACTCGTCAGTATTATACTCCTACAAGTTAAGAAAAAAAAACAATAACTGAATGATCTTCTTGGATTATGAATCATGTCTGAAATTTTGAATGAATCTAATAGAAGTATAAAACCAAGTCACGGGGATCGTATTCGTATATATATCACACAAGATTAGAAAAATAAAACCACACAAAGAAATATATCAATCATGTTATCCTTTTTTTCTTGACATCCAATCATGTTATCTTTTTGTTAAGCATGCATACACAATCCATAATAAATCAAATATATATGATTAGAGACAAAAATGTACTGGTAAATCTTTTCCAAAAAAATGTACTGGTAATCTTATCTAACAGAGACAAAAATGCGCCAAAATTAGATAAGCATGTACACGTATGTTAGAGAAACACAATATACAATCCCGAGCCAAAGAGATGACGCAATGTGGAAAGCAAGGTCAGTGCCTACAATTAAACAGACAAAAAACCACACAAATGTGACATGAAAACCATATATCGATTTAATTTTTCTCATACCTTCTATTAACTTTGCATGTTTGTCCATTACCCATTAGGTGATTGATAGGTCTGAACTACGCATGTTTTAGGATTCATTTCCATGTGATGATGTGAATAAATGGAAAATCATGGTAAAGTGGCTAAACTGGCCAAAGATGTGAAAAATGTGCAAAACACAAGGGTTACTCAATAATTTATTTAGTATATCTATTTTTTTCAAAAATGTGGAGATCATGTTTTTAGACATCCTGAGTCTTCGTCGCATCTTGGTTGATAACACGATCACCATATGTATTATGTTTATACGCTGCTGGAGCTGGTTGTCTAACAGCATGTGTAAATGGAACATGATCCAAAATATTAAAATAAAAAAATAAAAATAAAAAAGAAGAAAAAGAAATTCTTTTAAGAAATAGATAGATAAATTATGATAATTTTTAAACAAATTTAGATATATTACTAGATTAGAACTTATATTTTTTAAAGAAACATCAAACATAGTTATTAATTATAAAAAAAATTCATTAAAACATAAATATATCATTAATTTTTTTTTGAATATGATCTAAATTTTATTTGAGACGGTTCTGATATCCTGTAGTCTATGATTTTTTTACATGGTCTATGATATACCCGCATTGAAGTTGTTCTGCATGAAATAACAAAATGACTGAGGGAATAACTAATCAAACCACAACTTATCATACTAAAAATTGAAAATTCCGACTTTGACTATATTTTTCAAAATAAATTCGTTATTAACTCACCTTTATTAGTAAGTTTCAGATTATTATTTCCACTCTTCACAACGACACTACTAATAAAAAAAATTAAAACTAATTTAGCAAACAAAATAATAAAACCAAATACGCATTTAGCGGTCTTTTCGAAACAGAAAAGGAAAACAACAAATCAAGAACACACAGAAAAAACAAAACAAGAGAAGAAACACGATTGTTAGGTCTTTTTTTTCATCGTGTTTCAGATTGAATGGATCAGAGAAAAAGAGGTGATCCAAGAATATACATCGTTACTCTTCTGTTTCTGTCATGTATCATCTCAGGAGGAGTCCTTCTCGGACTTTACCTCCACCTCCCTGATCCGGATCCTCTGTTTTTACCGGCGGGTATGTTCTTCGTTGGTTTCCCTTGGCTCTTCTGGTTCTTGGCTTACGTTTACTCTTGCGTCCTCAAGCCTTTTTGCACTGTCTCTGTGAGCAAGAAGAGCGTTTCCAGTTTCGATCCTGAGAAAGGAGACGTGAAGAACAACAAGAATGTCTCGGAGAACGCAACGTCAGCTTCAGATCCTGTGGCTGAGGTCGAGCCGAGTGATAAAGCCAACTCTCATTGACGTGTGAGACAAGGAATGCTACCATGTGAAGGACCAATAGAAGAAGTATTTGTCCTGTTGTGGCTTTATTTTTTGTTCTTTTTATCTTATGGTTTAACCAAAACAAAAGATCTCTCAGAAACAGGGGAGGGAGAAACAGAGCAAGAGCAGAGCATTGACTGAAAGTAATTAAATAAGAAACAGAGTATTTTAATTTATTTCATTTATCTGTACTAGTGAAAGATGAATCTTACTCATCATCATCACCAGAAACCCTAATCTCTTCTTCTAATCATCTATACCCTTAATGTATTTAGCCACTGTATCACGTATCTGATGCTAAGATACAAACAAAACCTGAACAAACGAACTGTTGCAAGAGAATCACTCAAATGCTTAGAACATCAACACAACAACAACAGCAAAGAACATCCAAAAACCTTATTTCAAATTCGTTTTTGGTATAAACAAGTAGCTTTGTCTGCCAATCAAATAATAGATATTCATGCTTTTAGAATTCAGAAATGAAAATTTCAAACTTCAGGAGTCTTTGTTGTCATTTGATCAACGGTATGAACAACATTCTGAAGCTCCTCCCAAATGGCTTTGTAGACCATCCTTTGTATGTTCACTGCAGATTGTCCCTCAAAAGCCGATGATACCACATTGATGCTACAAAAACATTAATCAATCCTGAAGTCAAGTAACATAATCATCTAATATGACAAGTTAAAAGTAAGATTCTTGCTGGGTATATATCTGTTTCTGCTAATACAAGAATTCAAAATCTAACATCAGGAGAGCAGATGACAGATTATTTTATTTATTCACTACTCTATTTTGTAGTAAATTATGAAATGGGGTTGGAGATGCTCTAATATAAGAAGAATATTTGGTGCAACATAGTTTAAAATGAATGTATTGATTCTGTGAATCGTTCATACACTGTAACTTTTTTTTTGTTTATATCACGGACTGAAGAAATATAAGATTATTCGATCAAAAAAGACGTCAAGATCTATACACTATAGTTTTTCTGTATAAGTATGATATTTACTTTACCTTGAAAATTATTCCTGCAAATTGCAGAGTTAAATATTGTTCCTGTAACATTTTTAAGTATAAAAACTCATTAGCCATGTCAACGATTCAAATTATGGAATCAATATTTATGTCAAACTAGATTAAAACCAAGTGGTGGTAGTCTAGTGGTAATCTCATGGGGCTTGGTGTGTATCCACATTAGTCCTGGGTTCGATTCTTTCTGGGAACTAAATTACCATTACTTGACCAGTCTGGGCTTGGGCTTTGGCCCAAGTGGTTTACATGGTGGATCGTAATAGATAATCGGTTCATCCCCTGACATTAATCGGAAGGTATTTCAAACTTGGATCAGGCAGTGTGGTATCCAGTCCACTCTGTAGCACTAAGTGTGTTCCTCCTGAGACCAACCAGATCAGCCGATAGGGTTTATAAAAAAAAACTAGATTAAGATCCGCGCATTGCACAAAATAACATTGTATATATAGATTATTTTATATATTATTATTATTATTTATTTTTATTTTTACATGTTATGAAATAATAAAACAATAATATATATCGAATAACTGAGAAATCAGTAACTACTACATATATATATAACTAAATTGATGTGAATACACAAATCAAAACAATAATTCTTTTTTTATTTACAAAAATTTATGATAAAAAAAAATCCAAACAGTCACCTATTTATATTTTATATGGTATGTAATTAATTTTAATTGATATTAAATACATATATTATATTTTTAATATGATTATTTGTTAAATAAAACTATCTACTCATATGTTTGATGATCATTTGTATTTTTATAATGAAAACTTTAAATCACTGAATAATTTTTTTTAATGTGAGACGTTTATTAGTTTTACTAATTTATGATCTTTTAAAAAAAATCAATGTAATGCTCAAAATTTTAAATAGTAAGTTCTCAATATTTGTTCAAAGCAAATTTCAAAATGTAATATTTATGTATTTTATATGGTATATATAAAACAATATTAAAATAGATATATTTTTAATCTCAATATTTATTAAATGAGACGTCCAATTCATATAGTTTTATAATCATTTTCATTTTGTTATAATATATTTTTAAACCACTGATCACAAATTTGTTGGTGTGGACTTTTAACAATTTTAGTAATTTATTTTCGTTTTTAATAATTCAAAATATAACATATACTGATAAATTTAAATTTAAATTTTTATTTTCTGATTAATATGATTGTTTAATTTATTTTAGTAATATAAAATTAAACAAAAAGGATAGATGATAATAATAGCTTTATCAAATCTTTATTAGTGAAAATGATTAATTTTTATATATACTTTAGTCACAGTAGATGATTCCGTAATTTTTATTTAATTTTTATTTTAGAAAATAATGAAAACACTAATAGCTAATACAACATTATGGTTAATTTAATGAAAACTATATAGTTATATGGATCAATATATTTTCTAAGGATTCTAAGAATTAATTTGGTAATGACACATGACTATTTCAAATGTTGTAATACTTCTCTTTTAATATATAGAGTATATATATAAAAACATATTATAAGAAAAACTACAGCTAATACATATTTTTTTCATCAAAAACAAATACAGCTAATAGAATCTTCTTTGTGCTACACCACAACACACAAAAGGTCAACGAAGTTGCCCTCTAAAATGTTGCCCTTGCCCTATAAAATGTTGCCCATGCTTTCTCATAGTTTGCAAGAAGCTAAAATTTAAGACGTGGAATAGCGTAAAACGCAAGAATGGCAAAGAACCTCATCAACTCCATCTACCTGTCTGCTGTTTTGATCGTCTTGTTGGTTTCGAATGGTACTTTCAAATTATTTATCTTTTGTTTCTCTATATATATCGATCAGGCAGAATAATACGAACGTGTTATGTGATTTTAATCTCGAAATGATTTTCGATGACTATAATTAGTCTATATATAATATTTCTAATAGATTAAACGAGATCATATGTATACTTTGTTTTCAATGTTGTAATTCTAACAAACGATTAACTAATGGTTTAAACAGGGTTACCAAAAGCAAAGGGTCAATGTTTTGCAGAAGAAGGTCCAGCGGAGGCCTGTACTCCTACTGCAATACTGAATCAACAGTGTAACACTGATTGCATGGATATCGATTCAACCTACAGTGGACAATGTGACCTCGAAGGAGGTCAGCTTCACTGCCACTGCTACGAACCTTGTCCTCCTTAACCATGCACTAAATCAAATATGTAAAAGTATACTTTTACTATATTTCTATTTATCATTTGATGTGAGGTGGGTGTGTATGTGTGATCTATCTTTGAGTGTTGATGAAGTTATTCCGGTGTCAATAAATTTGCATCAGCACTGTTGTTGTAGCTGATGGCCAAAAAGATGTAATTTTTATTATGAATGTCTAATCTATTTTATGTATTCTATTGATATTAACATAAGTATGAGCATATTAAAGATCAGAATAAGACAACAAGGTAAATGTATGTAATTAAAATATAAAATTTTAGTATTGATAAATTTAAAATTTACATATGATTGTTTTATATGTAATTGAATTTTGGAATTTTTTTAATAATTATATATACGTAGTATCAGAAATAATTGTAATTAGAACTATAGATCAAAGCTTAGAATTTAATGGATCTAATTTCATATATCTTTTCAATTTTCAGTGTTCGAGTGATGGAAAATAAACAGAGTGTCAATGAGCTTGATTGATAGAGTATTAGCAAGTTCTCTAATGCTTTCTTAAGAAGCAGTTCTTAGAATATTTGCATTTATAATATATAAAGTTGCAAAACTAATTTAATATAAATTATTTATTTATCTAATAATATTAGAAATTATATTTTTTTAGAAATTATTATTTTTAAAACAATTTTATAAAAATTAAGTTTAATTTTAAATTATTTTTAAAAATAAATTATTTTTAAAAACAATATTTTAATTTTTCAAATAAAAATTAAAAATTAAAAATTAAAAATTAATTATGGTCATGATTTAACATAACCATAACGATTTAAAAATTAAAATTTAAACAGTTAACAAATTAAAAATTAACTTAATTTTATATCATGATTTAAAAATTTAAAAATTAATTATGGTTATGAGAAGTTTACGTTCACGTGCCAATCCTATTTATCTTCAATTTTTTTTTCTTTGTTGTGTTTTTTATTTTAGTTATTAATCGATATAAATATTCGTTTTGAAATTTATTTTCATTTCGTTTGTTTGTTTTGACCTGAGATTTAGAAAATACTTAAGATTTAAAATAATTAAAGAGATAATACTTAGGTTAAGATCCGCACTTTAGGCACAATAAATATTTTATCTTTATTATTTATTTTATATTTTTGAGTGAATTTGTTGAAAATCCTATAAGAAGTGGTTAATTAACAAAATACACAAACATAAGTATTGTGGGGATGAGTTTCATTTAGCAATTACGAAAGTAGCCTCAAACGATTTTGTTGTCCAATATTAAGGTAGGTCATTTATAGGTAGCAAGCTAGAAGGGGTTTAGTTTTAATTGGGGGGAGGGGTTAGTAATGATTGAACTTTGCCCCACTTCTTTTACATGTGTCAGCTACTCATTAGCATAGCTAAAATACAAAAATAAAAAATAATAATAAAAATTATAAAAATGAAAATAATTATTTTTAAAAAAATATTTTAACACTAAACCCTAAACTCTAATCCTGAACCCTAAACCCTTTGGTAAATCATAAATCTTTGCTAAATTTTATAAAAAAAAATCTTTAAAAAAAATTCTTTTCACTAAAACACTAAACCCTAAACTCTAATCCTAAACCCTAAACCCTTGGGTAAATCATAAACATTAAACCCTAAACTCTAATCCTAACCCTAAACCCTTGGGTAAATCATAAACACTAAACCCTAAACTCTAATCCTAAACCCTAAACCCTTGGGTAAATCATAAACACTAAACCCTAAACTCTAATCCTCAAACCTAAACCCTTGGGTAAATCATAAACACTAAATCCTAAACTCTAATCCTAAACCCTAAACCCTTGGGTAAATCATAAACACTAAATTTTTATAGATTTATCCAAAGGTTTGTGATTTACCTAAGATTAGACTTTAGAGTTTAATGTTAAAATATTTTTTTTAAATAATTATTTTCGTTTTTCTTAATTATTATTATTTATTATTTTTGTCTGACACAAAAGCTTCGGTTGAGTGTGTAGATGGATAACAGAATAAAAAAAAAAGAAACAAGAGAATAAGTAATCGATACAAACAAAGTTCCTTTGGTGTAGGGGTACAATAGTAATCAGAGCATGTGGGAGTATAACTACAAGACAAAAACAAGGCATTGAACTAATATACCAATCTTTCTTGTGTGTATACCGCAAATACTCTATATTTTTCTGCATACTATAAAATAATAAAATAATAAATATATATATTAAATAACTAAGAAATCAGTTACTATTATGTAATAAATTGGCATATGCATATAAATTTAACTACTATTCTTGTTTATTTGCAATTAGGGTAAATAAATCAAAACAATCAACCTTTATATCGTATATGGTATATAATTAAATTTAAATGATATAAACATAGTAATATAGCACACTTTTAATATGAAAATTTATTAAATGAGGGTTCTATTCATAGGATTTTATGATTATTTGTATATTTGTGTAACCAAACTTTACACCGATGATTTTTTTTTTAATGTGAGATGTTTAGTAGTTTCAATAATTTATAATCATTTAAAAAATCAATAACATATTTCAAAATTAAAATATTAACTTTTCAATATATTTTTAATGAAAATATCAAAACATAAGTATGTATTTTCATACGAGGTATAGTTTAATTTAAATGATTTGAAATATATATATATATTAACATAAAACCTATTAAAATAAAATTATTTTTTCATATGATCTTATAATCATTATATTTTAATATTAAAAAAATTAATCTTGATCCTAAAACTTTATGTAAGACTTTTAACAGTTTTAGTAATTTATACTTGTTTTGAAAAAATTGAAATACAAAATACACAAAACAAAATCTAGATTTTTATTATACGATTAATGTAATTTTGTAATTTATTTTAATAATAAAGAAATAAAATTTGTCTTGTTGTGGCTTTATTTTTTTTTATGGGGAGGGAGAAACAGAGCAAGAGCAGAGCATTGACTGAAAGTAATTAAATAAGAAACAGAGTATTTGAATTTATTTCATTTATCTGTGCTAGTGAAGATGAATCTTAGTCATCATCATCACCAGAAACCCCAATCTCTTTTTCTTATCATCTATACCCTTAATGAATTTAGCCACTGTATCTGATGCTAAAATACAAACAAAACCTTAACAAACGAACTGTTGCAAGATAATCACTCAAATGCTTACATCAACACAACAACAACAACAGCATAGAACATCTAAAACTTTATTTCAAATTCGTTTTTGATGAAAAACAAGTAGCTTTGTCTGCCAATCAAATAATGGATATTCATGCTTCTAGTGTTCAGAAAAGAAAAGCTTCAAATTTCGGAAGGAGTCTTTGTTGTCATTTGATCAACGGCATGAACAACGTTCTGAAGCTCCTCCCAAATGGCTTTGTACACCATCCTTTGTCTATTCACTGCAGATTGTCCCTCAAAAGCCGATGATACAACATTGATGCTACAAAAACATTACATTTACATTAATCAATCCTGATGTTAAGTAACATAATCATCTAATATAAAAACTAAAATTTAGATTCTTGCTGTGTATCTGTTTCTGCTTAATACAAGAATTCAAAAGCTTAACATCAGGAGTGCACATGATGGAGTAAGTTCAAACTTAAACCCCAACTTCGATGATTCTACAAAGTAAAAAGACGAATGCTACTGGTTGGAATTTGGATTTTGTTTTCCACACAGTACAGAGCAACTTGATCATGTACTTACAAAATAATATGAAAAAAAGGGAACTCAAAGTGTTAACTTTTTTTCTATATCTAACAAACTTCAATAAAACCACTCCTAGCACTTATATACATCATCTGCAACTACAGTTAGGCGATTAATAACGAAAGATTCCGAATAGATTTATGCAGAGTACTTACCAAACATGACGTCCATCTCCAGACATATCCTTGACAGAAACCGACTCTGCATTCAACTGTTCTTTAATCTGCACAGCAAAAAAGAAACAACTCCATATGTGTTGATAAAACCGAAAAAGAATCAAGCTTTACTCTGTGATGATTTTAGCTTAGTATTCAATCAATTCAATTTAGATCTTTTGACTTAACCTATAAACCTTGTCATAATCACGAAAAAAAAGTGAAACCACAAACACAAAGATTTTTAAAAATCGAACCTTTAGCTCCATGGATTGCACAAGAGTTTGATCAATAGACCCAGAAGCATCGTTGATTTGAGAGGATTTAGTTATAAACCCACGGCTGCGAATGTCCACGGCACCAAACCCAGAAACCCTAGAAACTCCTTTTCTAAAAATCGAAGCAATAGTTTCTCCACGAGACAAAACGCTCGAACTGGAGCTTCTCGCGGCAGAACATGAGAGACTTGATAGAAAGGAAGCGAAGGGTCTATTCGGAGATCGGAAAAGGAGATGAAGGCTCGCTCTTGTGGAGGAGGAGAGAAGAACGTAGGGACGAGTTAAGGTAGTCGCCATTGCTGAGTGAGCCTTGGGAGCAAAATGTGTTTTCTGGGAAACATAAGAAGATGTTGAGAAAATGGGCTTTTTATGGGCTTTATTAGCTCGCCAAAAAGTTTATTGTAAATTCATTACATATCTATTGGATCGATAACATCTTGTCATTTGTGTCTAATTGGTGCAACATTCGATTAAAATTCATTTCACTACACTGTAACTTTTTGTTTTCTTTTGTTATCTAACTACAACTGACGAAAATATCAGATTATACGATCAACAAGATGACAAGATCTATACACAATATAGTTTTTTTTCTGCAGAAGTATGATATTTACATTAGCTTGAAAACTATTCCTACAACTTACAGAGTTATTGTGCCTTTAACATTTATAAATATAAAAACTCATTACCCATGTCAACTATCCAAATTATGGCGACAATATAAATCAACATCCCCTATATATTAAAAGATAATCATTTAAAAAATTGTAACCTTAAGTTTGTAATAATTAAAAATAATTTTAATCATATGTGACATAGCTTCTTGTCTTCTATTTTAGTTTAAAAGGATTATAGAGCATTTAATATAACGTATAGTCTAAAAATTATACTATATAGCAATATAATATTTTGTATGCTATAGTTAATCGCATATATCTAATATTTATTGTTTCGCAGACTTTTCTTAAATAAAACCTACGGAATTACCTAATGTGATTAAAATATATATATGACAATTAATGATTTTAAACAATAAAGTTTTGATAACAATCTGTATACTTTTTATTATTTTATTTATTTATTTATTCTTAAAAAAATTACACAATTATATTAATCATATAATAAAAATCTAGATTTTTTTTTTGTGTGTATGTTGTATTTCAAATTTTTCAAAATGAGTATAAATTACTAAAAATGTTAAATGTCTCACATAAAATTTTAGCATCAAGGTTTTAATTTTTTTTCTATATTAAATATAATGATTATAAGACCATATGAAGAAATAATTTTAGTTTATATATATTTCATATCTTTTAAATTAAACTATACATCGTATGAAAATACATACTTGTATTTTTATATTTGCATTAAACATATTTGAAAAGTTAATATTTTAATTTTGAAATATGTCATTGTTTTTTTAAAATGATTATAAATTATTGAAACTACTAAACATCTCACATTAAAAAAAATCGTTAGTGTAAAGTTTTGTTACACAAATATGCAAATAATCATAAAATTATATGAGTAGAAGTTTCATTTAATAAATATCCATATTAAAATTGTGCTATATTACTATCTTTATATCATTTAAATTTAATTATATATCCTATACAATATATCAGATTGATTATTTTGATTTATTTACTCTAATTACGAATAAAAAGAGTAATAATTAAATTTATATGCATATGCCAATTTATTACATAAAAGTAACCGATTTCTTAGTTATTTAATATATATATTTATTATTTTATAATATGCAGAAAAATATAAAATAAATAATAAAAATATAAAATACTTATTTTGCATAAAGTGCAGATCTTAACCTAAGTATGTATCTCTTTAATTATTTTAAATCTTAAGTATTTTCTAAATGTCATGTCAAAACAAACAAACGAAATGAGAATAAACTTCAAAATCAATTTTTATATCGAGTAATAACCAAGATAAAAAAAACAACAAGAGAAAAAATTGAAGATAAATAGGATTGACACGTGAATGTAAACTTCTCATAACCATAATTAACTTTTAAATTATAAAAATCATGATATAAAACTGAGTTAATTTTTAATTTGTTAATTTTTAAACTTTTTAATTTTTTAATCATTATGGTTATGTTAAATCATGACCATAATTAATTTTAAATTGTTTATTTGTATTTTAAGAACTTAAAATATTTTTTTTAAAAATAATTTAAAATTTAACTTACTTTTTTATAAATTGTTTTTAAAAAAATATAATTTGTAAAAATATAATTTTATAATATTATTAGACAAAGAAATAAATTATATTGAATTAGTTTTGAAACTTTATATATTTTAAATGCAAATATTTTACCAACTGCTTCTTAAGAAAGCACTAGATTATCGATCCACACTTTCAAAGCGCGAGTTTTGTTTTAAAAAATATTTAATTTATAGCATACAACTTGTAAATTTTATATAATTTTTTGTGACATTATTTAATAGTTATTTGAAAAAACATTATTTAATAGTTGTTTTAAATGTTATTGATGACAAATATCTAAAAATGTTAATTTTGTGAAAATAATTATAATAATAATTATTTTTACCACATATACTCAACGTTTAATATGAAAGAGAACTTCTATACTCCCTCCGTTTCGAATTAATTGTCATTCTAGGAGAAAAAATTTGTTTCAAAATAAGTGTCGTTTTAGTGTTTCAAGATAAAATTTATTAGTTTTATATAACATTTTATTTTTCCAATTGGTTGAAAAGTGGTTAGGTGTATAGGTAATTGTATTTTTTTTTTGAAAATATGTAAAATTAAATGTTTCCTTAATCTGTGTGCAAAAACGTAGAATGACAATTAAAATGAAACGGAGGGAGTATTAATTATGTGCACAATAATTCGAAGATATGGATTGTTGCCTAATATTATTTGAAGAATTAAACAATTGATTGATGAATAAAAAAAAGATGTCAAAACTATTGGAGTGTATCTAGCAATTGGGTTAGCCGATTATTTTGGGCGAATTTTTTTTTTTAATTTTTAATAAGAAAAAATTTACATAAATATTAGTGAATGGCATACCCTAAGAGAGATTCGGTTTGAATAGTATAAAATAAATTTTGATCCGCACTTTTAGCACATGAAATTTTTCTTTTAAAATGATAAAAAGTTTTAAATTATAAAAAAATGCTTTTTAATATTTAGTTATGTACTAAGTCTACGAATATAGTTTTGTTGATTGTTTATGTTTTAATAATATAAGTATAGATGTTGAAAATTATTTTAAAAGTTATGAATTAGTCCTCGTAATTTTATAAGACAGGGGGCTCGTGGTTCAAAATATGGGTTTGTAAATATTACATAAACACGGTCCACTGCATAACTAAAAAGAAACATAAAAGTAAGATCTTATGTTTTCCAAGATATAAATCAAGTAATTTCCATATCCAGCGGATTAAGAAAAGTAACTTTAAAAAAAAGTTTCAGCATATTATGAATGCTAAAAACAGAAATTGCTAAGAATATACTGGCAATAATATAATTGGAATAAAAACCAATTAGCTACATACTGGAAATATAATTGACAGTTGTTTCGATAATAATGAAACTACATACAGACAATAGATTGTTTATACCTTTTATAATGTTTATTGATTGTACCCAAAAGTGATCGTATTAATATCACCTCACGATGTTTTTGGTATGTAGGATACTAAGATCAAAGAATGCGATCTACGTTAGAACAAATGATTTTTTGTTTGTTTGTTTGTGAAAGAATTGTTTAGCATGTTAATTTAGGTAAGAGTTCCAATGAGTGTATTGGCTTGTTAAAAATAATACTTACAGAAAAATCACCCTATGTTAATTTCTTTAAAAAAATTGTTAAATTATACTGTTTTGAGTTATTATTTTGTGGTAGGGTTTGTACAGTTAAGATTTTTGGGATCAAATCTAATATAAGGAATCAATAGATTTTATAGCCTAAAAACGTTTTTTTTAATGATGATGTAATGTGATTGGTCTAACAAATCCTCCATTTGGATTGGTTGAATATATTTGATGAATTTAATTAAATATATATCATAAAAATAAGGAATGACATTGTATTGTAAATATGAAGAAAAACTAAGGCATAATCCTATTAGGGATTCTGCTTTAATAATATAGATTAGGGAACTTGCTAATACTCTACCAATTAAGTCCAGTGATACTCCGTTTATTTTCTATCACCCAAACACTGAAAAATGAAAATATATATGAAATAGGATCTATTAAATTATAAGATTTGATCTACAGTTTTAATTACAATTGTTTCTGATCCTACGTATAGAGAATTATATAAAAAATCCAAAATTCTAAAATTTCAAATACATATAAAAATAATCATATATAAATTTTAAATTTGTCAATAATAAAATTTTATATTTTAGTTACGTACATTCACCCTACGCAAGGCGCAAGTCTTATCCTAGTTAGTATTAATTATGTGTATCAGCATATTCTGTGGAAAAAACAGCTAAGAGAACCTATCTTATTATAAAGAGAAAACAGCTAATAGAACCTAGTTACCTTAAAAAACTAATAGAACCTACCTTATATATGTGTGCTTCACCACAACACACAGAAGGTCAACGATGTTGCCCCTATAAATGTACCCATGCTTTCTCATAGTTTGCAACAAGCTCAAGTTTAAGCATAAACACACAAAAATGGCAAAGACCCTCATCAATTCCATCTACCTATCTCCTCTTTTGATCGTCTTGTTGGTTTCGAATGGTACTTTCAATTGCTATCTCTTTTGTTTCTCTATATCGAGATCAGGGAGAATAATACCAACGTGTTATGTGATTTTAACCTCGAAATCATTTTCGATGACTATAATTAGTCTCTATATATAATGTTTCCAATAGATTACACGAGATCATATGTATACTTTGTTTTCAATGTTGTAATGCTAACAAGCGGTTAACTAATGATTTAAACAGGGTTACCAAAAGCAAAGGGTCAGACTCAGTTATGTTTTGAAGAGCAAGGTCCAGCGGATGCCTGTACTCCTACTGCAGTAGTGACTCAAGAGTGTGAAGCTTATTGCAAGAGTATCGATCCAACCTGGACTGGACAATGTGACTTCAACGAACCTGCAAATCTTCACTGCCACTGCTACGAACCTTGTTGACCTTATCCATGCACTAAATCAAATATGTAAAAGTATACTTTTACTATGTTTCTATTTATCTTTTGATGTGAGGTGTGTATGCGTGATCTATCTTTGAGTGTTGATGAAGTTATTCTGGTGTCAATAAATTTGCATCAGCACTGTTGTTGTAGCTGATGGCCAAAAGATTTAATTTTTGAATATGAATGTCTTAATCTATTTTATGTGTGTTGTTTTATTGATATTAACATCTGTATGCGCATATTAAATAATAGATGATGATATTCGTGCTTTTAGTGTCCAGAAAAGAAAACTTGAAGCTTCAAACTTCGGAAGGAGTCTTTGTTGTCATTTGATCAACGGCACGAAGCTCCTCCCAAATGGCTTTGTAGACCATCCTTTGTTTGTTCACTGCAGATTGTCCCTCAAAAGCCGATGATACCACATTTATGCTACAAAAAAAAAAAAAAACAAGATATACATTAAGCTATTCTGTTGTTTAGTAACAGAATCATCTAATATGACAGGTGAAAGCACGACTCTGGCTAGGCATTTATTTGAAAAAAAATTCTTTTAATAGCATATCAGTTGAATACTTACAGGAAAAAGATGTTCTTGAAACATATCATTTTAGAATCCTATTCTGAGGTTAAAAGACAAATAAATTGATATCGAGAAGCATATAAAGCCAAAGGGAGAAGATAGCAAAGATATACACACCTGAAGCGATTCAGCATCAGTACTCATTACGTTTGTTATTTTTTACTGTTTCAAAATTCTTCCGGCCTCATTAGTTAGGCTCAGCGAGTTTCAGAACACATTAAAAATCTACCAAAGTAGTAATTTATCAGCAGAAAGAAATACTCTAAAAGCATCTGTTAAAACTTTCAGCAAAGATAACACAACTATATTACATCAGAGGCAGGAAAAAAATTGACGGTGAACTTTAAGCTTACCAGTGCAGACCTAAGCCAGTAACCAACATGCATCGCATTTCGGAAATATTGAGCTTTACTTAGAATCTCTATACCTGAAAATTTAACAGCAATGTCAAGCTTTAAGAGACAATCCACCAATAAATTTTGACTGTTGATGATCAAAGAAAATAGAGAGATATTGCAAATGCTAGCTTGATATATTTAATCAAAGATGATATGATTATGTACAGATTTCACCACATAAAATAACTCGTCTCCACATCAAATTTTCACTGTTTTTTATGTATTAAATTAATAGTTACTTTAAGACGTGATTACGATATATAAAAATGAAACACAAGATATTTAATACTCCTTCCGCATTTAAATGTATGATGTTCTAGATTTGTATTTTGTATACAAAAGATTGATGTTTTATGATATAATTAATGTATTTGTCTTTAAAATTAAACGTAAATTAAAAGATAAAATTATGAGTGGTTGAATCAAAAACTAATCATTAAAAGAATTGATATCTTTTTTCTTAATATATGTGTAAAACATTAAACATCATACAATTAAATCCAGAGGATTATCTATTATATTAAAAGAGAAGTCACAACTTCTCTTCATGTGTGATATTTTTAAAAATGGACCATTCCTAGAAAGTAATATTTCATATATATCTTATATCTTAATAACATTTTATTTGACTTAGTTACAATATCTTTTGATATCTTTCTTCTATTTGAAATAAAATAAATATTTTAAAAAGAATTCTAACAAAATCTTTTAGAATCTTTTATAAACATTAAACATATGAATAATAATATATACCAATAATGATGTAAATAAATAAATATATATATATATATACATATTTATAAACGAAATTAAACACCCGCTCGGTTGAGCGGGTCAAAATCTAGTTTTACTATTAAAGCATAATCCTATTTTTAAAATTTTGGATTATGTCCTTAAGTTTTCATCATATTTAAGTTAAATTACACAATATTTCACTAATTTAAAAGATTACAATCTTTCAATCATTTAATATCTGAAAAAATGATTTTATCAATACCATATACATATAATTTTAAATTTATTGAATATTCTCAAATCTAAGTTAGAAATTATTTTGAATAATAATTTGATTTCGTTTGATCTATGTGGAGGCCGGTTCACTTTCACAATCTTTTTTAAATAATTTTTAACTAAAATTACAGTATATTGAATCCAGTAAACATGACAATCGTATATATTAAGATTTTATACATGAATTACATTGATTTAGTTTTCTATTTTTTCAAAATAAAAAAAATCTAAACATTTCTTTCAATTTTTTAGAAATGAATTAAAATTTTCTTAAGAAAATTTACGATACAAATATATTTTCTAATTAAATTATTTTGGGTACTCAAAATAAACTAAAACCGATCTAAATTGATGATCAATACAATTACATGAATTTAAATGGATAAGTTATTGAGAACTTAAAAGTAATGGGTTCAAACAGTTGAAAAATAAATGTGTTCATCAAAAGTGAGACAAATTTAAATAAGTAGAATCTACCATTTTATCATTCTTAACAAAACATTTGATGAACTTTTATTTAAATTTTTAAAATGTATAATATCCTGCGTTTTTAAAATGCGAGTCAAAATTTAGTTATCCGCTCTCCAGAAGATGGGGAAGAATATAGTTTTTCTTTTAATAGAGAAGATTTTGTTATATGCCACTGACGAAAATATCAGATTATACGATCAAACGAGATGTCAAGATCTATACACGATATAGTTTTTCTGTACAAGTATGATACTTACATTAAGCTTGAAAACTATTCCTACAAATTGCAGAGTTAAATAACATATATATAAGTATAAAAACTCATTAGCCATGTCAACGATCCAAATTATGGCGACATTATGACTTCACTTAGAATGAATCAATATTAGTATTAAATATGTATAAAACATATTGTAAGAAAAATACAGTTAATAGAATCACAACACAAAAGGTCAACGAAAATGCCCTATAAAATGTTTCCCATGCTTTCTCATAGTCTGCAAGAAGCTCAAGCTTAAGACGTGGAAGAGCATAAACACACAAAAATGGCAAAGACCCTCATCAACTCCATCTGTCTATCTGCTCTTTTGATTGTCTTGTTGGTTTCGAATGGTACTTTCAATTGCTATCTTTTTTGTTTCTCTATATCGATCAGGGAGAATAATTACCAACGTGTTATGTGATTTTAATTTTACCTCGAAATCATTTTTGATGACTATCGTTAATTAGTCTATACATAATATTCCCAATAGATTAAGCGAGATCATATGTATACTTTGTTATCAATGTTGTAATTCTAACAAACGATTAACTAATGGTTTAAACAGGGTTACCAAAAGCAAAGGGTCAATGTTTTGCAGATGAAGGTCCAGCGGAGGCCTGTACTCCTCTTGCAATACTGAATCAACAGTGTAACACTGATTGCAAGGATATGGATTCAACCTATACTGGACAATGTGACCTCGAAGCTTTAAATGGTCAGCTTCACTGCCACTGCTACAAACCTTGTCCTCCTTAACCATGCACTAAATCAAATATGTAAAAGTATACTTTTACTATATTTCTAATTATCTTTTGATTTGAGGTTTGTATCTATCTTTGAGTGTTGATGAAGTTATTCTGGTGTCAATAAATTTGCATCAGCACTGTTGTTGTAGCTGATGGCCAAAAAATGCAAATTTTATTATGAATGTCTAATCTATTCTATGTGTGTTTTATTGATATTAACATAAGTATGCGCATATTAAAGATCGGCATTATAGTTATCGCTTTACATCTGTCTTACATATATTTTTTAGAAATGTTAAACTCTTGTAATGAACAACGCAATCACAATATACTGCGACAAATGGTATATATGTACATCCTATCACTTTTCAGATAAATTAAACTCAAGCTAGTAATCATAGCCAAATATAGTTTTCTGAAAATCCCTCAGTGACATATGTTTTAGTTCTGACATTTTTTCTTAAACATGATAGTCTTCCCGGAAAAGATATATATTTCAAGTTTCTTTGTACAACAATCTAGTGTATCATTAGAAAGAAAAAAACTTAAGAACTCATTTATCTTTGTTTAGGAATTAAAAATATATGAAGGATCAAACTTACTTGATTAATGATTAGAATAGTGTGTATATATCCTTTAACTGGTCAATGCTTCAATAATTATCTCGCATGATTAGAGTGGTGTTATCTTACCTAGTCGGTTTCTCTCGGATCTAGATCGGTTTCATGTCTATAATTAAAATACATGTAAAATATTTTTAATTTTTGGTTGCTTAGAAGGTTTGGGTATTTAAGATCCAAAGACTGAAATCCATCAAAAAAATCTAAAATCAACCATATGTATCTTAACTTTTTGTAAAATAACCAAAAATAAACATTGATAAGTGAAACTAAACATTTTAAACTCTAAACTTGGCATTTAAAGTTTCATATTACTTAAAGTTTTTATAAGATAATACTGAAGTTTGCTAATAAAAAGACATTTCATTATAAACTAAAACTAGATTTTGACCCGCCCTTAAAGAGGGCGGGTCAACCGTTTTTGCTTTAAATTTATGCCCTTGTTGGATTATTCACAAGTATGTATAGACATGAGTATCCGGGTTCAGATCGATTGTCGTTAATAATTTGGTTTGGTCCGACATATATAGATTAAGA